AATTAAACAATAAATGGAGATTTAAAAATAGCAACCTCAAAACATATACATCTAATAAAATGTTTAGTATCAGGAATATATAATGGTATTCTATGATAGTCTGTTACTATGAACACCAACAGTTTAATAGGAAAAAATGGATAAAAATACATGAACAGATATTTCACAAGAGGAAATAAATGTGCCAAAAAAACAAAGAATAAAACAAGACTATAAGAAGATATCATTTCATGTTCATTTAATTTACAAAATGGAAAGTGACAATACCAAGTGCTGGAGAGAGGGGGATGTACTTATAGGGTCTCTTATACATTGATGGTGGGAGTAAAAATTGGTTCAGTCAATCTGGGGAAGAACTTAGTATTATCTCCTAAAGTTGAAAATTCACATACTCCTTGACTCTGACTTTATTTCTAAAAAAAAAAAAAAAACTCTCTTATAAGCTAAAACTAAGAGGCATGTACAAGAATGTTCATAGCAGCTGTTCACAATTGTAAATAGCTTTAACAACCTAACTAACTCCCCAACAAATGGAAGAGTTATAACATACTATTATATAGTAGTTAAAATAAATGAAATATAACAACACAGAGCATCTAGTAATATAATGAATTAGAAAAATACTTCACAGAGATTATTTCAGTAAGTAACCCTTTTAATTAGAAATAAGAGCAAGTAAATTTTAAAAAGACATATAAGAAATACATATAGATTTAATAAGAATATAAAAAGAAAGAAGGCAAGGAACTGGTGAACCCTGAATTCAAGAAAATGGCTAAGTGAAATATGGGGAACCAGAGGGATGGAGAGGAGTCATTTGTTTAGATACCTGATTATTGCAAAGGTCCTAGCTTTTACATTAGGTGTTGGGATCACAAATGGTATAATAATCTTTAAAATGTTAACTAAGTAAATTAAGTACAAATTAATTAATGAAAAGCCAGTCATTTTACAGACCAATAATTAGATTACTATAAAACATATGACTATAATTGCACTAATTCTAGGCAACAGAAATCCTACAGGTTCTAAATAATTTGTAAACCCCAAAAAGCTACTTTGTCTAATTCATGAGTATTTAATATTTACAAAATACAGGTATTTCTAATGAACCTCTTTTCTATAAATATCAACAAATACAGGTTTTATAACTTCAGTTCACCATGATAGATTTTTCATATTTAACTTTATTTATCCAAGATGAGTATGAAAAAGAGCAATGAAGAGAGATTTTTCAAGCATAAAGGCTGAGTGGAGGATATGGTTTCTCCAAATAGTCACAAATGAATAGAGGGCTGGGATCAGCTAAAAAAAATACTGTTCCTTTTTTAAAAAAGCTATAATTAAAGAAGTGATACTAGTCATGTCTAATCAAGACAAATTTAGAATAAACACCTGTATAAATATCAATTTAGTAAGAAACTGTCAAAATAAATTTTATTTGTGGGAGAATGTCTAGTTATCGATGAATTAAGTAAGTGGTATCATTCCTTTCCTTTCTGATCCAGTTTCTTTTGCTGTGAAGTGAGAACAGTAAAGCAAATCCTACAGCAGGTCACAGGTGTGTAGATTCAAGGAGAAGAGAGTGAGAAAGAGAATGCAATCTGTAATAAAGTAACGTGTGAAAAAAAATTATCCTGGGAAAGCTCATTACTACACATGATGAATGCTTAATTATAAAGAAGGATTTAAAAAAATACTTTAGTATGAATTATTCACAATATTACTGATATAATATGCATATCAGACATTAACTCACACCTTTTATTTTTTATAACTTTCATTTAAGCTACTAGTTTAAACTCTTTTTTAAAGTAAAAAGCTGTACTCATGGCTGATGTGATACAAGAATCAACATTGGCAGTAAATAATAAATTTAAATAATTTCTCAATTTTCTTTTCTACTTTCTGAGTATTAGTAATAATGAGTCAAAAATCATAATGTAGGAAATATTTAAAAGAAGCCAAGATAATCCATAAATTGGTCTCAAGATTAAATAAAAGTTCTATATAATAAATGAAATTTAAAAATGTTAATGACACTGGGAATTTTAATATGACTTTATTTTCATATTCAATTATTACATAATTATTCAACTTTCAAGTGATAAAGCATTTGAGATTATGGCTTATTTATAATTTTCTTCTTGAATGCACTGCCTGGTAAACTACGTACTATGTATAAGAACTAAAGAGAAGAACCACCAAACAGGTATTGTTGTCTGCTCTATGTACTTAAAGACTCCCTTAGTCATTGCTCTATATACATTTTATTTTTAATGTAGAGGGAATTTAAAAGCATGATGTCTAATGTCCAAGCCCACACATGACTAAAAGCAGCAAATTTCAGCAAGCAGCCAGTGAGTTAGAGGTGAGGAATGTTTTTGTTCCATTCCTAACGTCCCTCCAACAGGGAAATGGATAAATCTTCAGACCTCTTGAGCCCCATCAAGCATCTCTACAAGAGGAGCAATATACCAGATTGGAGAGATGGCATGGTCTGGACAACCCAAAAACTTGCTACTTTTTTCCAGAGCATCCCACTGGGAAAATATATTCTTCTGTGATACTACTTGCCTTCAATTTTAAAGGAGCTTCCCCAGGGAAGCCGACTCTAGTCCTGAGGAGAGGAATGGTTAGGGAGACCTGTAATTTGGAGGGCAGGAGGAGGACAAACCAAGTGAGCAAGAATCCAAATCCCTCATCTCTCCTTTGAGCCTTCCACTTAGTTCCTTCCTCTCTGCCTGAAACTGTATCTGTTCACCTGGTGGACTTACATACCCTATCTTTAAGATCTTCAGGGAGACCCTTCCTTACCTGTCACCAAACTATTGCATGAGCTTCCCTAAGGTCCATTTGTCCCCCTAATAATATTTGTCTCACTTTATTTAATTTTCTGTCCAATTACTAGAGACTGTTGTTACCTACATAAAGGGAGGAATCATGTGCATCTTGGTGGTAAATTTATCATGTCACCAAGGCTCAAAACAGAACTAGCTCCTAGTAGGTGCTTACCTGAGTGACACTGTTCCTTGCAAAAAAAAAAAAAAAAAAAAAAAGGAAGCTATGCAGAAAAGGTACATATCAAAGGTAGAATTACTGAGGGCTTACTAGGCACTACTGTTCAAAGCTCTTTCACAGGTAGTAAAATTTATTTAACCCTCAAAACAAATACACAAAGTACATACAGGTGACCCACAGTCCTTTTCCAAAAATCTTGAGGCTAGATTCCATAATCATAGCCTTTACTATTTTGGCAGGAAAGCATGTGAACATTCAAAGCAACAGACAAAAACAACACGAGTTCCCAGCAGGTCACTGTCACCACATGAATTCAGGTAGGTTACATTTCCCTGACTAGGAAAAATTCCTAATTATGGATTTTTTTGGGTTTTGAAAACATTTTGAACTTCATTTTATGATCAGAAAACTAAGCCATAGAGCAGATAAGTACCTAACCCAAGATTACACAGCTAATAAATATACAGCTGTATAGCTAGACCTACACCTTACGCACCACGAAATACTGTCTCAACATCCAATTTGATCTGACCAGCACTAATAGCAAACCTTAGAAGAGAATCCAATTATCTCTTCTTAGATTCAGATTTGCCTCTAGTCAAGTAAAACTTGGGGAGATGGATGGGGTCACTGTGTACAAACAGCTACACAGGCATCTCTTCCCTCAGGTCCACAGGGCAGAGTCGGGTTTGCTACACAGGCTATAAAGGTGGAGAGACATGACTTCACCTTTAGCAAACGACCGACTGAAGAATTTTAAGACAGAAAGCAGGCAGGCAAGAAATCAGACTGGGAGGAGGTAACAGCACCAGTTCTATCTGTAATGCTATTTTGGATTTCTGGGTGCTTTGGGCTTAGAAGTAAGTGGGTAGAAGATGAATAATTTGTGAAACACAAAAACAAATGGTCAGCAAGGTGCCCTTTGTGTTTATCTGTGAACTCAAGTGGGCTCCCCTGTAGAATATTGGTCGCCATTTCCTGACATTGTGACTTTTAAAAGCACCCTGATCCAACATTAAGGTCCCCAAGGGAAAAAATAAATGGGAGACTCAGTCAATGAAAACATTAATAAAATGAAAAGATTTGTCTTTTCCATATGAAATATAGCACATTTGAAGGCATAAAGCACACAGACAAATTCATATTTTGTAAGAACATACAGATGTTGAATGACAAACTGCTCCATATGGCTGAACAGTTGGCCCTAAATTAAAATAATGGCAAGAGGTGAGGGAGGCTTAGAAATAACATTAAAATCACTACATGCTGCACTAATGATGCATGCAGCCATGGCTATAGGGTAAAGGCATCTTTGCTGATGCAGAATGAACAGCTCTGTACAGCACCTATGTTAGTCCAAATGAAAAAAGATGGAAAACAGTAACATCAAAATGCATGCAGAAGCAACTGCTCTCAGTGTTTTTAAAAAGTTTTTGCTTAGAGAAGAAATACTTGATAAACAAGGATCTCTTAAATCCTATAATAAATGCAAATAGAGTACATTCTTAATATCACTAATTATCCCTCTTTATCCCCAAATCTTAGTTTATGCCTGGATATCACATCAGAATAAACTTTTTAGCAAAGCTTCACAAACCACCAACACTGCCATATTTTCAGACTTCACATATATTCTTTACAAACTATATAAAGCAACTGCATTCTTGGCACAAAGCTAAATTATCTAAGTGTGGAGTTATCACACATGGCATTTAATAAGATTAACTGTTTCCATTTTCACCTAGTGAGAATTCTGTTCAGTATCTAATTCCCACATCCTTGACCTTTAAATTTTATACTGATTAAGAAAAATTTGAAATAAGGCAAATAATTTCCTTTTATTTCCAGGAACACTAAAAGGGAAAACATATGAAAGAATTTGTTTGTATGGCATTCTAATCAGAGTTTTACAACATTCTAATGAGCAACCAGCAAATAACTTGGATGCTGGAACAGAAAAAAAAAAATGAGATATGTAATTCAACCATGGTCTACAATAGAAGTAAGAGACTTAAGCGAGAGTATTGTGCATTTCACACCTAGAACAGTGCTTTGGATGTGGTAGTCCCTCAATCCACATCTATTGAATGCCTATTTGAATGAGCAAGTAAATTAAGGACACACAACTTCAAAATCTCCAATTGTGCCTAGCATAGTTGCTGTAAAAAATTGGCAACCAAAAGATGTTTGTCAAGTTAAATCACATCACACACAGCTTTTGTGGCAGCATGGAGACATGCTATTGAATCAACCTGCTTCCAAGAGCGCTGCTAGCTGACAGCACACTCCTCCCTGCCCCCCAATTCAAGGTTGGCTGCAACAGTCAAGCCAGGCTCATGTTCTCCCTAGACAGCTCCAGGTCAAGAGACACCAGAAAGGGGCTATTTCCACTCAGTGCAACCCCTCTGCAAGGCAATCTTTTTCTAAGCTCCCCATCAGCCTAAGATTTTCTCAGTTTCACTAAAGTCCAAGGTTCTTCTTCCCCAAACTTCCTCCTTTCTATTCACAGATTTCAGACCTGCACTGCAATCTGAAGGCTCTTCCTGCCCCCCTTTAACTTTGGGGTATTTGTTTTTATAAATCTCTTTCACTTCTAATTCTGTCTTATATCTTCTTCCCAGAGAACTGAACTGACAAAGCCATCTAATGATTATTGACTATCATTACAGCTAAAAGAACAGATCTGATTAATCCACATCTAGTCATAAATTGGTCAAATCACTGGCCTTCTAAAAACAGAGAAATTTCTATATTATCTAATTCAACATTCCACAGCTGATCTACAAGCTAGGTTTCTTTTGCTGTCTTGCACACTTTCTAGCTTAATAAGGCAACAGTACAATGGTCAGTATGTAACACTCCAACAGACATTTTCTACCTCATTTCTACATATCCCACATAAGTCTACGTATGAAGAATTCTTAGTAAAATAAAATGCATCAGAGAAACAGCCTAGTATGAGGACTGTTAATAGGAAACAAAGAAAATTAGTATTTTAAACCTTCTCAGGCTAGAACCCCTTCCTGTATGATGTCTCACCTCCTCACAAGAACCTTCCAATCATTACAAATCTCAGAGAACTTCTGAGAAGGTATCACTCCTAGAGGCACGACTGAATCTGGGTTCACTTGGTCGCAAGTTCAGCACCTCTTTCCACTATCTATTTTTGCCACTTTCATTTAGCTGAAACATACAATTTTTTTTTTTACATATCACAATGCACTTTTCAATTTATTACACTAGCTCTCTTTTTGTCAAGAAAATATTATTTCAGTCAGTCCTTCTCTAATCCCCCTTTACCTTTGATTTCATCTGGAATAAACAAGGTAAGAAAGATTAAAAAAAAATGTACCCCCATCTGGGGTGAATTTTAAGTATTTCACTTAACTAATTCTAATGCTATTGATTAAGTGAACTAATGTTTTTTAAAATCCCAATTAAAAAACCTTTGTTTATGTTAGAGCTCATTACCTCCATTGCTGGCTGGCAGGATAATTTGTATTCACGATGTGCATATTCGTCATGCCTTTTTATGTGAATATGGGTTAAAGAATCCATTGTTTGGTAGGGATAAGTTTACAAAACTGGAAAGTTTTACCAAAAAAAAATTTCCTTATTGTTCAAGTAATTACTCATGGACAAATCTCTTAAATTACCTGTGTAGTAAAGGGCTGTATGTCATCACAGAAGAAAATGCTGCTGAGAGCTACCCTTTGCTTTTTACCTAGGAGCACCCACCTCGTGCTGTATAGCTAATAAATCAGAGCCTGGGTAGGAAAGCTTAAAGAATAAAATGGTTGATGAAAGAAAAAGAAATGGTCAACAAGAAGCAAGAAAAATTGCTATAAATTAAGTTGTACATATGCAAATCCTGGGGTTCCCCTGCTTATCATGTTGTAGGCCTACCATTCCTCCATCACCTTTCAGGCCCCCCATTAACCCTTTGCACTCCGCTGTCCCCTCTCAGGGGACATCGGAATTCTAGCATATCACTCGGATGTCCCCTCTCAGGGGACATTGCAATTTATTAGTGATTACGGGGAATTGAGGTTATTTCAATGCAACTTTTTGAGACATGCATGTTTCCCTCAAGTTTGATCTTGAAATGGCACAAGAAATTAAATCAAAATATCGTAAAATGGTTCGGAGTGCAAAGGGTTAAAATAGGTCACTTTTCAAGACCACTGCTCTAAATTTAGGAGCAGCCCTTATTGTTTTCAAAATTCAAGCTATGAATTCTTTTGCCCAAATCAGAATTGTGTATTAAATTACCTTATGAAAGAATGACTGTAACTGCTTAGGTAGTACAAACTATGGGAGTTTTGAAAATATTGTATTAATCTGGACACCTTACTGTTTATGAGTATAATACCTTGATTTATGCCACAACAGAAGAAACAACACAGGGAGGAGAATCAAAGGAAGGGTACCTGGATAAGTTGTAGTAAAAATCATGCCCCCTCACATTAGTGCAACCATTCCCTTAACATAATAGTGTATAATAAACTCAAAGATGTGCTTGCACATCTGAGAACTAGAGGAAAGGCTTATACAAAGACATCTCACTATAAATATTCTTAGAGTAGATAAACTGGCCTGAATACTTGCTAGTAAATTTACAAGCATCTCTTTTTAAGGAAGCATTTTTTATTCGAAATTTTTAAACCAAATTGAGTGTAACAACCTTCAATCATGAAATAAATTGGTTCTTCCAAATCACAAACTTCAGAACTTCTCATACCACAGATAAAACGCAAACAGCATTGTCATAATTTAGTGTTGCTGTTCAAATAAATGTACTTATCACTAGTACAGAAAGGATACAGAGAGAAGCTAGCTTGCTATTAACAGTTCATAAAAGAGTCTATTTTGAATCACTTAACAAATGTTGATAGAAAACTTCCCATAGATGACTACAAAATATGATGCTCTACCTAGCTTTTAGAGAGGTGGAAAAAAATAATATAATATATAAACCTCTCAAGGCAGATCGTAAGTACAATTGAGTACATAGTGTCATTAGGACTCAGAATAAGAGAAGATAGTATCTGGTTCTAAAGAAATTAGGAGAGGCCTCACAGACACTCCAAAGTCTCCCCATCATTCTTCTATTTTTCAAAAAGATTATTTTAACTTGAAAACTACATAGAAATACACAACAAAAGGAAAAATGACACCAAATTTCATCAATTTCCTTTCTCCGGCACAGTAAGTTTACCTTGCACAAATGAATTTTATTACTTGGTAACTAGTTTTAGAGTTTTTTTTTAATGCTAAATATTTTTAAAACAGTATACACACAAAACTTGTATACATATCATTGTATAACTTATATGTTCAATTTACTATCTTGATATCTTTATAGGATGGGATGTGGAAGGAAAAAGTTTGTTGGCAGAAGGAGTTCCTGGAGATTTCCAAAGCAATGAGTGTTGATGACCTTACTGGACATTCTTGCAAACCCTCTGATGGAATTTTTCAGCCGGAAGATAACCAAGAAAGTTCTTATCTACAATACAAAGAAGCAATTAGAAGGCTACCCCTGGTCTGTCTAGTTCCACAATGTCAAATGCAGTAGTCACTAGACATACTTAGATTTAAATTTAAATTAAAAGTTTGGTTCCTCAATCACAGTAACTGCATTTTCAGTGCCGTATAGGACATCACAGATACAGAACATTTCCATCATGGCAGAAAGCATTATGGGGCAACACTTACAGTAAATAAACCTGGCATTTCTATTTCATTTGGCTAGAGGATGAAAGTTAGTCATAAAGACTACATGGGTGATTAAAGGAGAGTAAAATGAGAGAAGTCACCCAAATCTAGAAGGCTCCTTCTGTGCCAGTGTGAGCCACACGTAGCTGGCACTTATCACTCTCAACCCAGAATGCCTGTGTGTGTTGAATGGGCCCATGCTCTCCCAACCACAATGTATTTGGTGACAGCTTATTGTTTGTATCCCTCATTCATGATTAGTAAAGTTTGGCTAATTTTACTAATGTATGTTTTATATGCCATGAGGCATAATCTTATGCTACATCTCAGAGTAAGATCTATGATTCCAGAATAATGCAACTGAATAGTAAGGATGTACTGTAATTAATATAACAATCTATTGATGAAAATTATTGAAATTACATCAAATGTTTTGCTTTCACAAATGCCACTGCAGTGAATACACATGCACACCAATCTTTTACACATTCATACTATTCTGTAAGATAGGATGCTGGAAGTGACAGCATTCTATCTTAGGGTTATAAACACTTAACAGTTATAAACACTTAACAGTTTAAAGAGACACTGCTAATCGCCTTTCCAAATAGTTGCACCAATGTCTGCTAATAATACAATAAAGGCCCTTTCATCCATTATTTCCACCAATTGATATTATTAGTCTTATTAATTTTTGCCAATGTGATGGTTTTTACTTGCTTTATCTTCCTCATTAGAGAAGTCAAGTATCTATTTACAAAGTTAATGGGCTATTTGAAGATCCATAATCATCTTTTCATAGTCTTTGAATACACTTTGCAAGTTTATTTACTAATATTTATAGCACAATTTATCTTTTGCTGATGAATTTATAGGAGGTGCTGGTTTACTGGTGTTACTGGTGTTTTACGTACTGGAAATGTCTCCCTTCCTCTTATATCCTCTGCCCCCATTCTCACTGCTTCTGCCTTTTAACTTGATCTATGCCTGTTTTCCTATTTTTTAAGTAATCTATTCTGTGAGTCTTACCCATTAAGACTTCTTGGGTTTTAGGTCTCTTTTGATTCCACAATCTATAATTACAAACATAGCCATCTATATTTTCTTTTAAGCTTGTAATATTTTCCTGTTCTGCATATAAAACTGTAATCTTTCTAGAATTTACTTTTGTATGTGGTGAGAGATAAGGTCCCAACTTAATTTCTTAAATAGTCTATCATTTCAGTATCATATTTTTGGGGGGGGGGTATCTTTACTCCACCCATCTGAAACATTACATTTATCATGTATAAATATCTTACAAATATTCCATCTGTATCTAGAATATTTTGTTTTCATTAGCAGCTCATTCAGTCTCCTCTATAATCGAGGTTACAAAAAGTACATGAAATTGGGGAGCTTCAGAATTCTCACTCCAATAAAAGGTCCTTAAATCAAGACCACCATCAGTGACTTGGTGAGCATGTATTCACAGCTTACAGTATGTTTTGCAATCTACCTCTGTTACCAGTTTTGCTGTATACCCTCCTCAACAACAGCTCAGTATTTTGCACATGGAAGAACACCAAGTAATTGTTTGTTGAATGACTTAATGTCTAATAGTGAGTTCAGTTTACTCAGATGAAGGTATGTAATTTAAAAGTCATTGCTGGGGCCTCCCCGGTGGCGCACCAGTTGAGCACTGGGTTGCAAAGCTGCCCGCAGCCTCTGCAGTGCTGTTTCGATCCCCGGCCACTGGGCGAGGGTCCTACATGGTGCACAGACCTCTCCTGCCACCCGCTGCTCCACTCAGCAGTGTACATCATCAGTCTCCCTGTTCTGCTCTCCGCTCTGGCTCTGGTGAATCCTCTCACCCTCCCACGCTTCTGACTGTACCCAGTGCTTGTATAAATAAATAAAAATTAAAGAAAAATACAATAAAAGTCATTGTTTTACATTCTTCAAGAAATAGAACAAATATTGATGAAATGCATATGGACCCACCAAAAATCCCAAAGAGCCAAAGCTCTTCTGAAAAAAAAAAAAGAAGGGAATGGCGGTATCACATGCTCAGACTTCTAACTATACTACAAAGCCATAATGATCAAAACTGCATGGTACTGGAACAAGAACAGACACATGGGCCAATGGAACTGAACAGAATATCCAGAAATAAACCCACAGATTTATAGTCAACTAATCTGTGACAAAAGGACAAAGAATATGTAATGGAGCAAAGAAAGTTTGTTCAATAAATGGTGCTGGGAAAACTAGGTTGCTACATGCAAAAGAATGAAGCTTGACTACTACCTCACACCATGCACAAAAACCAACTCAAAATGGATTAAAGAAGTAGACATAAGACCTGAAACCATAAAATATATAGAAGGAAATAGAGGTGAAACACTACATGATATACACCTCAGTATCATCTTTAAAGACATATCACCCAAAGCAGTTATAGTGAAGGCAAAGATAAACAGCTGGGACTACATCAAATTAAAGAGCTTCTGCACAGCAAAAGAGACAGTAATCAAAACAGAGACACCCCACAGATTTGGAAAAAAAATTTGCACTCAACACTAATGTAAAGGACTTATCACAAAAATCTACAAAGAGCTGATAAGACTCAACAAAAACAGATTAAATAATCCAGTCAAAAAAATGGGCAGGGCCTCCCCGGTGGCGCAGCGGTTGAGCGCTGGGTTGCGAAGCTGCCCGCAGCCTCTGTAGCACCGGTTTGATCCCCGGCCGCCAGGCGAGGGTCCACAAGGCGTGCAGACCTCTCCTGCCGCCCGCTGCTCCCCTCAGCAGTGTACTTCATCAGTCTGCCTGCTCTGCTCCCCGCTCTGGCTCTGGTGAATTCTCTCACCCTCCCACACTTCTGATTGTACCCAGTGCTTGTAAAATAAATAAATAAATCTTTAAAAAAAAAATGGGCAGAAGAGCTAAAAAGAAACTTCTCCAAAGAGGAAATGCAAATGGCCAATAGGCACATGAAAAAATATTCAACATCACTTGTAATCAGGGAAATGCAAATCAAGACTATAATGAGATACCATCTTACACCAGTAAGAATGTCACATATTAAAAAAACTAGCAACAATAAATGTTGATGAGGATGTGGAGAAAAAGGAACTCTCCTGCACTGCTGGTGGGAGTGCAAACTGGTCCAATCACTATGGAAAGCTGTGTGGAGATTCCTCAACTTGCTAAAGATGGAGCTTCTATATGATCCAGCAATTCCACTCCTAGGTATTTACCCAAAGGACACAGAAACATCAATTCCAAAGGGCACCTGCACCCCTATGTTTATAGCAGCACTATTTACAATAGCTAAACTCTATGGAAACAACCCAAATGCCCAAAAATAGATAACTGGATCAAGAAGATGTGGTACATATACACACTGGAATATTACTCAGCAATCAAAAAAGATAAACTCATGCAATTTGCAGCAACATGGATGGAGCTGGAAGGGATCATGCTCAGCAAAATAAGCTAGAAAGAAAAAGAAAAATACCAGATGGTCTCACTCATAGCGGGAATTCAGAAAACCTAAATAAGGGACCAGGAAAAAGACTAATTATAATAAAGTAAAAATCAAAATCAACAAGCAACTATAAACCAGACACACTATGGGGGGGGAGGGAAAAGGTGTAGGGTCAAAATAAGGGGGGTGGGAATTGTATGGGGACTATAACCAAGATGAAAATGCATATATTGTGCAAAAAATGAAAAATGATGTAAAAAATACATAAAATAATAAAAAGAAAAATTATGTTAAAAATACATAAAATTAAAAAATAAGAAAAAGAAAAAAAAAGCAGATGAAAGCTATAAAAAATTTTAAAAAATAAAAGTCATTGTTTGATCAGTGTCAAGTTTTAATTTATTAGCAGTAAATACTAGAAAGAGAAAATGATAGCTTACACTACTGAAGGAATACAATTTTACTAACACTATTAAAATAGTATATCTACAAAAAAAATGAATGTGTGATGTTCATGCTCAGGCTTCTGGTCACATCCTCCTCCCACTCTCCAAGACAGATGTCAATACATTTTACTCCTTCCTCAAATGTCCAAAGACCCTCCCCATCAGAAGAAAACCTTATCTTGCCAGCACGCTGCCATAGACTCTGCCTTTCCTCCTCTTATTAGAATAAATGTTCCTTCCCAGTTTGTGACTCTAGGATTTTCTATCACCTCTCTTTCCTGTGTTACTCCTCTCTTCTTTTGGGTTGTTGGATGCATTTTAACTGCCACCCTAGCTAAGGAACCATAGTCTTGCCTCAATTACTTTAAAAGCCTTCTGGCTAGTGTCTACTTCTATTCTGCCACATCCTCTTTCCACCAGTTCTATTCTGCACAAGCAGTTCTCATGATTCTTGTAAGTTATAAATGAGTCCATGTAGGAGGAAGTCAAAAATGAATGAATGAATGAATGAAGTGAATAAAAATAAAATAAACCAATCTATGTAACTCTCATGCTCAAGATTCCAGGGGCTTCCCATGTTAAAATAAAGCCCAGTCTTTCCACATCCTATAAAGTTGTGATCTGAGCACGGCCTATCTCGTCCAAGCTCATCTCTCACCACCATGTCACTTACTATTGACCAGCACAAAATAATTGATCTATAAATAAGGAAATGAAATGGTGCTTTCTATGCCAGAGGCACATCAAGACTGTCTCAGAGTCTTTGTAGCTGCACTCCCCTTTGACACACTGCAGATACATGCACAGTATTATACTTCATTTAGGTTTCTGCACAAATGTTACTTTCTGGGTTTTTCATCTTGATTCACTGTTTTGTAAAGTAGATAAATCTTAAGATAATTTATGTTATATAAAATTTAATAATTTAATACACATAAATGTTATAAAAAATGCTGTATATAATTTAATATATAAATGATATAGCTTATGAAATGCATTTATTAAAATATAATGTCTATGAAAATATGGGGATTTAATTCATGTTTTTTATCTTCAGAACCTAGAATAGCACCTGACACATAGTACGTACATAAAAAAATATCTGTTGTACAAGTAAATATGTGTATTATGCACATATAGTAGGTACAGAATAAAATATCTGTTGAAGACATAAGTAAACAAATGAAATTTGTTGAACAAGTGAACAAACATAGCTTGACCATGAATTTGGAAAAGGGCAAACCTGTTTGGAGACATTACTCACTTTTCGTTGTTTTACAGAGTCCAATTTTATAAGCCAGTATGAAGCTACCTTTGTTTTATGAAACTTCCAGTTATCAATCATCTGTTTTGGGGTAGAAAAATTAAGAAACTGAGAATTTTCCTCAAAAATTTTTCCTCAAAGGTAACAAATAAAAAATAAACAAATGAATTGAAATCAATTTAATTCATTTGTGAAATGAAAGCATTAAAATATTTCTTGCATAAATGTTGTATACTTTCATAAAAAAGACACACACAAAGATTTCCTAACTTAAGGTAAAGAACCAATCAAGATTCAAAGCATTTGCTCCTTGTTTTACCAAGCAAACAATCACCAATAAAGAAAATTCAAATGTCTTCAGGTATATTATTAAGTTTGAGAAGAAGTCCAAGCCATTTTTCCATTTTAATTGTGAGTTGCAATTACCAGATAACAGAATATTGAATAAAAAATGTATGTTCTAGGGCCTCCCTGGTGGCGCAGGGCTTAAAGTCTCAGAGCTATCAAGCTATCCAGCCACTGGGGCATTGGTTCAATCCCCGGCAAGGAAACTAACTAACCCCCATGGCGCAGGGGACCTCTCCTGTCTCACCTGCTGCTCCCTCAGCAGTATATTTCAGATCTGCCTGTTCTGCTCCCCACTCTGTCTCTGGTGAATCCTCTCACCCCCTGAACCTCTGGCCTACATCCCAGTTTTTATATGCAAAAATAAATAAAACAAATCTTTAAAAATGTATACGTATATATGCTGTGGTCGTATATACTAAAGCAAACAAATATTTACTGTATGGAGTGAATATAAAGTTAAACAATTTAATGTCAAAGATGATTATGTTTTTGCTAATTTCATTAGTTCGTGTATGTTCTTCAGAAAACAATCACATTAGCCACAAATATTGGTTCTATTTTCTGATTAACTTTTTTCTACCTAATTTTACAAGGTGGTATAAAATGTCTAGTACGAAGTTATTAGCTTTACTTAGAACTTGATTGATTAAGTGAACATGTAAATAAAAAATATGCAGCATGCTTTAAACATGTATATTTTTCTTCCTTTTCTCCTGAAGCAACAAATTTACAAACAATATAGTTTTCACTTTAAAATATATATATATATTTATATAACAACACTATGCACAATATTTGATTATACCTGTGTCAATTACAAAATATAAACTGAAACTATTGATTTTTTTAATGAAAAAAAATTTTATTATTGTCTGATTTTTTTTTCCTACACAGCTGCTTTTGACTGGTCTAAAGAATGTTGAAAACTGAAAAAGGCCATTCATGGCTGTGGGTTTTATTCTACAATTGGCCACCAGATGGTGCCTTCTCCTCTGGAAATTAAAAAAAAAAAAAAAAAGTGGGAGACCAAAAAACAAAGTTTATTATGAAGGATCATCTAAAAATGACAATTTGAAAAGGGTAGCTGAATGAAGAAATAGAATTTTGAATGAAGAAATGTTCTTTTGCCAAAAATATGTTCATAATTAGACCTTCTTTCTAAATTAGAAGTAATTGACTTTAACACGAATTTTAGAACTCTACATTTTAGAAAGTTCCACTGGATGGTGCAAATGAGTGTTTAACAAGAAAAACAAACACAACAAAAATCATTTCAAAATCTGACCCAAATCAATCAAGGTGTCACATTCAAATATTCTTAATATTTTATACCCAGAGCTCTACTTTTTTCATTACATTTCATTCCATGCACCTTCTTTCTTAATCTGTATAGATGCATTTTTATTTCTATATTCACTAGGAATAATAATTATGTAACACAGATTATTCTCACTGATGAAACAGTGGTAGCCATAAAATAGGACCATACACTAGAAATTTGTATTGCTGATTAGGAACGTGATCTCATTGCTCAAGAATCATATTAATTTAAATAACCCCTATACTGCCTAAAACGGGTTGAAAAGAGTATCAGTTAAGTTTACCATGTTATCGAGAAAAATGGCATCAGTCAATAAATTTTAATATTTCCTAAAGAATAAAGAGCATGAGCTCCTGGAATTTTATATAAATCAAATACTCACTTCTTCCATCAGGAGTTCTGATTCTAGCTCGGATTTTCCTGGAAACCGGATCCTCATGTCCTTGAGAACAAATAAGGTCTGACTTGTCATAGCGGCTTCTTGTTCTTTTGTTCTCAGTTGCTGCAAAGACTCACTCTTAAATTTGAAAGAATACAGATATTTGGAGGGGGTCTTATTTCATTGTGCCACTATAATCTGAAAGATATTTCTAGGTGAAAATGAGGCAGATTTAATTGGGGAAAAAAAAGAACAATGAAAAAGGAAGAAAATAATTTTTTACACTTATCTTCAGGATTAAATTCTTGGGATTAAATGGCTGATTTCCTAACAGTGTCTTTCACACCTACACAAAGTTGTATTTTATTTAGCTCAAAGTGCTAAAATAAAAATATGATTATTTAAAACTGACTTCCTGGTCAGTTTCTTTTGCTACATATATTTTAGGCAATTGTTTGTTTAAAAATTTTATATTAATTATGATTGATAAGTCTTTAGACTTTGTTTTATAATGGAATTGAACAGGAAAAAGATATTAACATTTTTGAGGTTTCTATTTTTTTTTTTAACTGAAGTATATCATTCATTGTTACCAAGAAAAATTCATTCACTAATATTTTCTAGGCTCTACCCTTTGGAAACATTCATATTAAATCAATTAGTTAAATAAATCCCTTTGAGCTTTGTATTTGAACAACTACAAGTAGACTAATAGCAAAATTCACAGACTTCCTTAAGATCCACTCTCTGGGATTCATGCTAAGGAGGGAATATCACGTATTAATTTGCCTTAGTGGGCCTCCCTGGTGGCACAAGGGGTGAAGACACAACCTATAAAGCTGTTCACAGCCTTGCAGCATAAGTTCGATCCCCGGCCCCCACACTGGCCAGGGAGCAACCCACATGGTGCAGCAGACCTCTCCTGACTCGACCGCTGCTCCCCTCAGCAGTGTATTTTGGTCAATCTGCCTGTTCAGTACCCACTCTGTCTCTGGTGAATCCTCTCAGCCCCCACACCTCTGGCCTATACCCCAGCTCTTCTATGCATAAATAAATAAATCTTAAAATAAATTAAAGCAAATAATAATTTGCCTTAGTGGTGGGTGTGGTGTAACATACATCTGAAAAGGTGTGAACCTAAACTTCCTAGTCATAAATAGTGTTGTAAACCAAATGTTACCTCAGTTAAAAGAAAAAACAGAAACATCATAAACAATCATATTTAAGTGTTCTAAAAAGAATTTGTTAAAAATCAATTTCTAGGGTCTCCCCAGTGGCGCAGCGGTTGAGCGCTGCGTTGCGAAGCTGCCCACAGCCTCTGCAGTGCCGGTTCGATCCCTGGCAACCGGAGAGTCCCACATGGCGCAGAGACCCCTCCTGCCGCCCGCTGCTCCCCTCAGCAGTGTACTTCGTCAGTCTGCCTGCTCTGCTCCCTGCTCCGGCTCTGGTGAATTTTCTCACTCTCCCATGCTTCTGACTGTACCCAGTGCTTGCATAAATAAATAAATAAATCTTTAAAAAAAATCAATTTCTAACTTATTCATCAATAGTCACATGAAGGAAAAGTTCATGTAACAAATTTCTCCAAATTTACAGATGTACCACATAATATACTGCAAAACAATATATTTACTCAGGTGACTTTAAGTAAACTTTGCCCACTCCATCAGAAATAGAAAATAAAATGCTCTTTGCAGTATCCATTCTTTATCTGTAATATAGTGGTGTCTGCCTTTTTAGAGGCTATACTAAGTTATAACTCCACTCAGAAGACCACAAGTTGAATTATAGAAAGGATTTGAGGGTCAATCTCTCTTCCACCCAGCTGACCCCTATGCCACCTAAATCCTTACTAGAGTGTACCCTGAAATAGCCAAATAGTGTAACAGATGACTTACTTGTTGAGAGTCAGAACTGGTATCATTCGTGGGAGGCAGATACTTCTGATAGGAGGAAGCACGGTTTAATGAATGTGATCGAGACCCTGAAGTTGCCCGGGGTGCTGTTATCATTTGTTGAGCAGAAAAGGGGCGACTGTCCCCACTGAGAGTTGATTGAGCAGTGATGGACCGAGGACAGCTGACTGAACGCTTTATGGCGCCTAATGATGATGGAGAAGAGATATAGTATTAGAAGAAGTTTCCACTCTATTTGGGTCTATATAAACTAACAGTTGTATTTAACAATAAATGTCAAAGCATAGGCATTATCATAAGAATATGAGTTTGGAGTAATTCTTCAGTTTAAATAGTTGAACTTGGTACTGAAGCCCTGTCATATCTTGTAATGACTATCATGTGATTAATACTTAATGCAATATTCTCAAAACATGACACAAAGGAACCTTAAGAAAAGAAAACTAACATTTATGAAGCACCTTCCATAAGACAGGCATCATGCTAGGTGCTCATTTTATCTTAATCTTCACAGAAACCCTCTAATCCTCTAATGTAGGATCTCCATCCATCACCTGGAAGTTCAGAGAAAGAACTCTCTCAAGGTCACATGAAAAGAAAGTGACCAAGTTCAAGTATAAATCCTGAACTCCCTACTTGATGATGTCATCCACTATTCCTGGATTAGACCAGTCATTTACTAGAATCTTGTGTATAGGTAAGAGATAGAATATTTTACATCGATTCATACAGAGGGATGGAAAGGCATCTAGAGAATAGTCAGGAAAAATGGATAAGTTACAGAATTTAGGGTCCATAAGAAAAAATAAATAAAAGAACATAAAGATTATAGTAATGGATTTTAGATATATAATTAAATATATAAGAGTAATAGTAAGTTAAAAAAAGAAAAGGCAGGATCTAAAGGGATGCTATAAGACCAAACAACTAAGGAAAACCATAGAATTTCTTCCCCAAAGGATACTGAAAAAATTTTTTAAAAAGAGAACCAACTATTCCAGGTAAATGTTGATACTTAACACAGGGAAATAAATACCATACAGTGTTAACAAAATGTATACAGTTTTAGTCATATTCTATCTACCCTCTGTTCTATATTCTCTCTGTTTGGGGAATATATCAATCTCCATTAATTAAATAATTTAATAAAACTCACATGAAGGCAGGTTGAATACCCAAATATTTCTCTTCATTAGCTGTTGAAAAAAATTTAAACCTTTATAAAGGTAATGGACATAAACCTTATATTTAGGGATGTATTTCTAAAGTATATTTTGAATAGATGATAAGAGCCCTCATTTAGGTTCTGGAGAATACAAAAAAAAAGGATACTCACTGAAGCTATAAAAGATGTTTTTATTAAAAAAACACTTCCATTTGTTCCAAATATCAACTTCCTTTTGAACCTAAAAAAAAATCACACTTTTTTTTTTTTTTTAAAGAACAGTGTTTCTAGAGCGGGGAACATACCCCTGGCCACACTTCTACTGAGGAAAATACCCAAAAGCATGGGAAAAAATCTATATCTCATCCCTGTTCTATGAGGGTTTAAGGTGAAGGTTTAGACATACATAACCTGATCACACAAGCCCAAGAAAAATTTCTTTTAACTCTGCAGATTTCCATTTTTTTCCAACATACACTGGAAATTCAGAGAAAATAACTCAATAGGCTAGACATGCCCATGATATTTGTGTAGATTAGTAAAAAATGGTTATAATCTGCCAAGCAAAGTATTTAAAAAATATATTTTATATAATTTTGTATATGGCTATCTTATATCAAACCAAAATATATTCATTAAAGCTATAACAGGCTTGACTCTCCTAAGTAAACTCTCTACAACAGAAAATGTTACATATAATTTTGATTTTATCCCCAGTCATCAGCAATATTTTATCAACAAAACTCAAGGGGAATTGTGGTTATGATATTCCTTACTGCAAGATTAAAGAGAGAATATAAAACAAAGTGAAACCCTTGTTCTAATTCCCAATGACTACAAAAACTGTGTAACTAATAAAAAAAAAAAAAAAGACATGTCATTGAGTTAGCCTACTTATAAAATCAGGATTCACACTTAAAAACATACTTTAAATCTGTATCACATTTTTATTATACTATCTGATCTCAATTTACTAATCTAGTGGTCTAAGAGCAGAGAACAATCTTAGAGCCATAGGAATCTTAGCATTTTTTTTTCTCAGCCCTACTCTTAATGCTCTGACAATACCTGCTGCTACTAGAGGCAAACACTAAGCAACAGGACAGGGGTCAAAAACTGATAAAACCTAGGCGGGACCAGGTCAGCTTTCAAAAGAGACAGTCACAGTTAGACAGAGACCCACTGAAAGTACCTAAGGCATCTTTAAGAAACACAGGAATCTAAGAAGGAATGAATGGAAAACAGAAAAACTGTGATAAGGAAAAAAAGAAAGCAGGAAAGGAAGGATACAGAAAAGTCAGCTGGTAACTCTCCAGTTTTGTGCTGACTTCAGTGCTTATTCATGATGAAAATGGGGCGGGGGGATGGGGGGAGGGGACAGGTGGTGAAGTATTTCACAACTGCATGGCTCACAAATGGCGAACCTACTTCCCAATTGTGTGGCTCACACAATTGTGTGAAAGTCTATCTACTCAGATAATAAACATTAAGAAGCAAGGTATCCTTTGCCTGTCTAATTCACTGTGGACATTTTTATAATAAAACATTTTAGTTCATTGTCCAAATGTTTTTTGTTTTTGTTTTTTAAATGAGTGAAAAGGGAGGTAGGGAAAGCAGGAATAGAAGAGTATATTGTTTTAAATTAGAATGCAATGGACAGGTCAGTCACGTGACACATTCCATAAAATTCATGCAAAAATCTAGCACTTAGCAACAGCTGTGAATACAGAAGAATGGATCTCAGATATCCTTAATTCCTCACTTTTGTTTCCTATATGCAGGTCCTGAAAGGGACTGTGGGATGTGCCCTGGTAGAGTTAGGGAAGGAGGGGTTGAATTCAGGTCTGCTCACACACAAGGGTTCATTTAGCCCAAGGTCTTTTATTGAGATCAGTAATTTCAGTTTCATAATCCTTCACGTAACAACCGAATTAGAAGAAAATAACTTACTGGATTGTTGAATTAATTTGTAGGGGTTAGGCTGTTTATGATTATATGTAACTTGTTTTTCTCTCTTCTTATGTTGGCAGTCTTCTTTTTCATCTGATTCTGAAGAACTGCTGTGACTGTCGTAACTGCTCTCACTGCTGTAGTACTTCCTCCTCATTACCTCAGTACTCTCAGGCATAGAAGACAGAGGCTAAAGTAGAAAGAAATGTTATTTTGTTAGAATTTTTTAAAGACTATTAACATATCAGTTAGAATATTCAATTTCCTATATATGCTTGCTGATTTTCACTGAAAGCTAAAACTCTCCCAAAGTACTATTGCTACAGTTCTGCTATTAGTCTGCAATGACATTCACTAATTTTTCTGTTCCTGCAAAATAGTCTTCCTTAAATGCTATAGCTCAGTCATGATGCAGAAAATGTTGCTTCTTCATGATTGGCATAAAGGAACAAATATCTACAAAGAATAACAAAAGGAAAAACTTTTACAATAAAAATATAAAAATCAGAAATACAATCAGTTTTTCTTCATTCTACAGTTTACTCATCACTCATCAAGTCTCAAAGATGTCCTTTCATTTTCTCATTCATATTAACAGTCACTCAAAGATGCCTGTAAGCGCACTGTATGTCCTTATGAAAGTGAGAAAAGATAAGGAGAGAAGAAAAGGGATAAAAAGAATAAGTAACCAGATAAACCACTATAAGATAAACCACTATCAATAAAGGAAGTACACATCTTAAAACAATATTTACAATATAATAATACACATTAAGAAGCAAGGTATTGGGCCTCCCCAGTGGCGCAGCGGTTGAGCGCTGGGTTGCGAAGCTGCCCGCAGCCTCTGCAGCGCCGGTTCGATCCCCGGCTGCTCCCCGGCCACCGGAGGAGGGTCCCGCATGGTGCGCAGACCTCTCCTGCCGCCCTCTGCTCCCCTCAGCAGTGTACTTCGGTCCTTCTGCCTGCTCTGCTCCCGGCTCTGGCTCTGGTAAATTCTCTCACCCTCCCGTGCTTCTGACTGTACCCAGTGCTTGTAAATAAATAAACAAACAAACAAATAAATAAATAAAAATCTTTAAAAAAAAAAAAAGAAGCAAGGTATTCTTTGCCTAATTCACTGTGTACATTTTTACAATAAAACATTTTAGTTAATTGTCCATTTTCAAATTTCCTGTAAACAACTCATGCCTTTTCTCAGAGAATTCCTAATTCTGACATATACCTTCTGGCCATACTGGAACAACACTACTTTTCATTGCCTATAAAACATTTTCTTTTTAGTGCTATAGTATAAAAATCAGTATGGCATGAGGTTTTTAGAGGACAGGTACACCAAGTAGAGGGTAAATCAGTAAGGATTCAAAATGCCAAGCTATTGTGTTCCAATATCTCTATTAGAATCACTTATCTCCAAACATTCCAATCAATCTGCTTCTAATGATGCCACTAAATGAACAAAGACGGGAAAGTGGGAGGGCTTCACTTGTTCTTGCACAGCCAAGAACAAGACAGTTTTGTAACTTAGTCATTCTAAGATACTATTTATTACACACACCATATGCCTCTCATTCCTGCTGGGAAAAGTCCCTGCAGTTGTATACTAGTTTCTTTTTCTCTGTTAAATCAAACAAAACGTTTTGATGTTAGCATACACCATAATAAAATCCTTGGTTACCATAAGATTTCACTGAAATAAGGTGTATCCTCTTGTGTAACAGTGTAGGATGAAAGATAAAGAGAAATAGCATTTTATGAAGTGCCTGGAATACATATTAAGCCAAAACATGATCTTAAATGTACTGCCTTTGCAAAGGATTAAAAAATAACCAAAGCAGGGAAGTAGTACACTGAGGTGCCACACTGAGTTTAAAAGTATGTTCTTCTTTTGAGATCTAATAGTTACTGAGCACTAACAATGTTCAAAGTGATATGCATAAAAACATTTACCAGTAACACAATCATCAAACATTTTGACAGTTATGAATTATACAGAGAGGCTGTCTCTTCTGAAGTCTAGCATACCCAGAAGGTGGTAACACAATCAGGCTGACTAGTAGTACCCTACTTCATGTAGATAAATCATTTTAAACTTTAAGAAACTTGACTACATGATAATATATTTAATCCTATAAAAATCACAACAAGAAATGGATAACTGAACCTATATGTCATATATGCATTTGGAACTGTTTGACCAAGACAATGTTCAAATAATAAAAAATCATAGCTGGGGCCTCGCTGGTGGCGCAAGGGGTTAAGACGCAACCTATGAAGCTATCTGCAGCCACTGCAGCACAAGTTCAATCCCCTGGCTGGCCAGGGAGCTACCCACATGGTGCAGCAGACCTCTCCTGACTCGCCTGCTACTCCCTGCAGCAGTGTATTCCAGTCAATCTGCCCCCCATTGTGTCTCTGGTGAATCCTCTCACCCCCCACACCTCTGGCCTGTACCGCAGTTCTTGTATGCATAAATAAATCTTTAAAAAAAAAAATCACAGCTGTATAAACACTAAACAGTACATTAACTATAAAATGGAATTGCAAAACTGCCACTGAATTATGATACAAATCTTACTACGTTTTATGTCCAATTTTAATGTAAATTGGGTCATTTTAAAAATATGTAAGTGGTATAAGAAATTATAAAATACCCATGTAAATAATAACAAACTGAAGAAGAAAGAACAATGCTAATATTTTTTATTTGTGAAGCCAGTTAATATTATTAGATTCTCAAATATGTAAAAAGTTTTTATTTCTTCTCATACAAGTTTCATTTAACCTTAATTATCTTCAATCATTCTTCTGCCAATAAAGATAGTAGAAATCAATGTTTGCCATGTGCTATCAGGAAAGGTTACTTTGAAGTTTGGCTTACTCAAAAGCCAACTGTGTAGAATGAAGAATAAAATGCTTTTACTTTAGACTGATTATGCAGCTTTTAAGCACTGTGAAATATTGCTGGCATTTTTAATAACTATAGTAACTAATCAATAAGGGAAGTGAAAAGATTTTTAACATGAATTCTGTTCTTCAGGAAATTAGATTTTTATTTGAATAATCCTAATTTGATGAAGTAAAGGAAGATATAAGCAAGCAAAGGGCTATCTTAGGGTCTCTGCATTTGCCCTTAGGTTGACTCACATCTGCTTTTACTGAATTGAAACAATTAATATACCAAGCATAGATCTTCCCAATGTTTCCACTCATGGAATTGTTTACTTTTACAGATACTCTTATTTGTTCCAAAGGAATTGTCAACAGCTTCCACAGTTCTTCAACAAAAAACACATAATTCAGAAAAATGGCTGACATCCCAGCTCTCTAGTCTCCACTAGATATGTATCTTTCACCAGTTCTTCTTGCACCATTTTACTCTCCAAGAACTTTCCACTTGAGTCATACCAAATTCTTCATTGTTTTTCCAACAATTACACAGTGTCACACCTCCATGGCTTTGCCTTTAATGATCCTCCTACCCCACATAACCTTCCAGCCCACTGAAATGTTCAGACACTACTCATTCGAGACCCAGTGCATATGGCGCTTCTTTTATATAAGACGTCATACAGTCTAGCAATTATTTTCTTCTCTATGCTACTGCAGTACTTTCTACACCCTTTATTACAGAACTACCTATAATAATCCTTGATTTTGTGTTCACCCATTTGTCTTCCACTAGCCAGTGACATCCTTTGGACACATTCAAAAATCTAACTAATGGCTTATGAGAACCTACTAAGTGCCAGGTGCCGTATATGTTAGGTGCTAGAAATAAAAAGAAGAAAAATATGTTTCTAAGTCTGAAGGAATTTATGAGCCCAATTAAGGAAAACACGCCATCAATTATTTGTCACAACAGCTCTTTAGAACTGTTCTTTGTGGTATAGCAGGAGAAGAGGAAGGAAGATCTGAGTCTCACTGGCAGAGTGAGGGAAGATTTCACAAAGGCAGTAATGGTTCAACTGGATTAGAAGGGAATTCCGATCAATCAAACAACAAATGAATGATTGTTTTTAACTCAGGCATTCCTAAGACATAGGAAAAGCCCAAAAACATGACAATATGACGTGTGTAAGGACATAACAAAAAGCTTATTATTGCTGAACTATAAAGTAGAAAGAACAGAATGAAAAGTTTCCACAACACTACAAAGTCAATTCCTTCCTACCCTACTAGCAAAGACTCTAATATATATCAAAACACTAGATGTCACAGAGCAGATGAAGGTAAAGCAAACACCTGTCCATTTTTGCCTGCATGACAGTATTCTATTTAGTCCTAGAAACAACCTATTTTATGTAAGAGAATTTCAATATCATTGGAATACCAAAAACAGGGCCTCTGGAGTCCTGACTCACTTCCTAGAGTGCTACATATATCTCCAATAAATATGTATCTAGAGATATGCAGAAAACTTAACACTGAGTATAAAATAAGTTTAGTAGGTTCTAGGTTCTTCTTGGCCCCTGATCCTCAGGGTTTTCACTTGAATTAGGGGAAGTATCAATAATGAGGGAAATGAACAAAGCCCGAGTGTAAGTAACATTATCTTCCCAACTCCATCTACACTGGATAGATATAGTTCTTGATATATAGTCCTTGAAAGTTGTATCAGTCATTCTTAGGCAAAATATAAAGGGAAAACAGCTGTGCTTATTAGTAGCATCTACTTTGCTACTAAGGAAATTTGAGGTACTGCACCTTAGGTCCTCGAGACTTGGAAGTTTTTCCCATCAACTTCTCATCGTCAATTTCACATTGTTCCAGAAGATCCAAAATATCCTCCTCCTTATAAAAATATTTAATAAAAATTGTGATCACTAACAGACTCTTGAATTTTTCCAAGTTCAATCGCCATAAAGCAGGGTACAAGTATTCCTGAAATTACTTAATGATAGCTCAGATCAAATAAATAAAAAGTCACAACAAAATCTCTTGAAGAAACTTTTCCTAAAATCAGCAAAAGAAATAATATATTACTGAAATCTATTATGTATTAATTATTATAAGCAAATGTATCTCTGTGTTGTAGTATGCTACTAAAAGCTTAGAGTACAATACTTCAATAAATTAGCCTATTGGACAATTTAAAATTTCCAAAAGTTAACTCTAATTTTCCAAACCACAATTTTGTTCATTTCTATGTTGATTACTGCAATATAACATTATAACTTCAGACAGAAAACTTTTGTTTCTTTCATTATACCAGTTTCATATAGAAACAATGTAACAAGAAATATACAGACTGTGGAATTTGAGTGAAAAGACCATAGCAAAGTTGATCTATAATAGATCTTATTACTATTTTTTCAATCACTCATAGCATGGAATCCAAGATACTGGGAGTTATCATTGTAGGTAGCAACCCAGAAATATAAGTACCAACAGTTTTAACAGGTCAGATAAACTTGTCTGTCCTGCAGGATATTAACAAGCATGATTCAAGCAGAAGCTTGATTATACTTGCATAATGGCCTTGTCCTCCTGAAATCCTCCCTTTGGAAATCCAAGTTACCAAATTAAGAGGTGTGAATACCCTGCTAAGACCATGCAGAGAGAAAGACATACCTATCCAGCTCTCCAAATGTTCCGACTATCACAACAAAGATAACAGAAATGTAACAAAGTTATCTTGTATTTCCAGCTCCAGTTAAGCTTTCAGATATACACAACGGTATGATTTATTTCAAGCAAGGCCAGCAGAACAACAGCACAATTCAGCCCAGTTAAGATGGCAGGTTAGTGGGTAATAGAATTAAGTGGTCCATCATGCTATAATAATATATTATTAGATGATTTTTATAGATTATTATTAATAGATAACTGATAGCCCTTTTAGTAAGGTAAACAGATTATCGCATGTGTGTATGTGTGCACACATGTACTTTAATTATCTCTAATATGCCAGGTCTATGCAGAAGAAAATGCTGTATGTTTGTTACATTGCTAATAATGAGGATATCACTAGATTAATTCAATGACTTTTTGTTCAGTTACATATATATACATCTCTATAATATGTTTATTACAAGATAATGACATTCCCTACTGCATATTTTGCCCTGTTAAACAACAACTTATTTATGAATCACTTAGTTGACTATGAAATGCTATCAACTGTTAAAATGGAAGGAAAGTGCATTTTAAAAGTAAAATGTTTTTTTATGTGGGATATTGGGTAGGTTGTTTTTAAAAACATACTGTTAGCATCACTCCTTTCTCCTTAAAAATACTGATTTATTTACCTTCATCTTCTTCAAAGGATTATTTAGCTCTCGCTGGAATGAGGCTGCTCTTCCTGAAAGGAAGGTCTGAAAAGCAACAGCCAACAAATTTTCATACTTTTCAAGTAGTGTTTTATCATCAGGAGGATAAATACGTCTACAATAAAATCAGAAAAACAGCTTGTGTAAAAGAAGCTATCATAGCACAAGAGTTAAGGTCAATTACATAAATAATCTTTACTTTCTCTGTGTCAGACATTTTACTAAGTGCTAGAAATCTAGAAATAAAGCTAAAGTATAGCCATGATAAATTCATGAATTTTTATCTGTTACACATACAAAAGTAAAGTTTATCTATAGAATTTCATTAAACAATGCAGTTGCAGAAAGTATATGCTATAAGGGTTTGGTTGGAGGGAGGTGGCTGGAAAATTACAATTGGGCATATTAGAGAAATATTGAGCTTTATGGGAGAGAGCTCAGGTGATGGGAGATAACTGGGAATTTTTGGACTTACTGTGATTATTGAGGTATACAAGAATAAAGTAAGTAATCCCGATGATCTCTTTTAGGGGCTAGAATTTGCCTGTCTAGAAAAGAATTGGGTAGAAGTAGAATGAGAGGAGTAGTCCTCATCTCTACTTTGGTATTGTTAAGGCCAGGAGAAAATATCTTACCAGGAGGGCAGGAAGCTCTCTGGCCTCAAATCTTCCTAATTCTGTTGAGTTAAGGTCAAAATTTGGGAGGAGAAGTAGTCTTTTCAAGAACACAAAGAGCTTTGGGGATCCCCCTTTCATCCTATCAAAAGTGATACTGTGGAAGAGTTCTGGTTTGGCACAGTCTACACCCCTCCCTATCATCTCATATTTAGCTCCTTCACACATTTTCATTAATTGTCTGACTCCTGATACATTTGAGTTTAAAACAAAGCACAGCAACCACTTTGAACTGCAAAATGAATATTAAGAAATCTGAAACATGACTTTCTCAAAATACCAAATTGTAATCAAATAAAGTCACAGGATAATGTCTAGTTTAAAAGACTTCCATCACCCCAGCAGCTGGCTAGCAAGAACGTTAAGTCTGAACCATCAACTTCCTGTCTATGTTTTCTATCTGGAAAGAGTAAACAAAAAGCAGTTTCTCATAATAAATTAAACAGTAGCCAAAATAAGCCCACAAAATTCAAAAACATGTAGAATTGTGTTGACACTTCATTTCTTCAATCTATTAAAAATATGGAAAATTACCTATAATTCCCCATATGCCGATTTTCATGTTCTTCTTTTGAGACCTGCTTTCGTACTTGAGCCAGTCTTTCTTTCTAAAAATGAAAAAACTTCACAAGTAAAACCTGACAAATAAATTATGCAATTCAAATTGTGGATATGTTTTTTAAATTTTCATACCAGCTCTTCTTTCCGCCTCTCCAACTGGTGTCTCTGCTGTTCCCAATCTGAGGAACCTGGTAAGAGCCTTTTTATTGAATGTTGACCATAAAGCCTCCTTTGGGCCTCAGCTTTTTGTTTAGCCAAGTTTTTCCTTTTATCACTAGTCCTAAAACATAAAACATAGGCTACATTCTAGAATTCAAATACCTCAGATCCTATACCTGTGGAGAGAAGTAGCAGAAGAGGAGACACAGTGGGGATAGGAATAAATGTTTATTAAATTTATATATTCATACATATAATATTCATTTAATCATTCATCAAATATAGGTCTCCACATAGTATGTAGATGTTCTGAAGGTAAAAAGATATAACAGAAACTATAAATTTTCAGAGTAAGACATGCCTAGTTTCATTTTCCAACATAATTTACTAATTCTACAATTTTAGGTCAATTAATTGCTAAATGTTAATAGCATCTCCTCCTCCTAGAGTTCTTACAAAGATTAACTTATGGTAACACTAATAGACTCTTAACAAATATTAGCTCCTTTTTGCCTTCCTAAACCAGTTCCATTGATGTTTAAGCATTCCACTTATACTAGCCACTCTTTAAGATTATCAGTGTTACTGAAATCCCAGCCTAACAATCATCATTTGAAAGCATTTTCAGTCTTTCTTACTTTAGCAAAATCATGAAAATTTAGTGACAACTGTCTGATTTTATAGGAGAGACCTATTGTGAGAGTGCCTTCCTATAAGCCTCTTATCTCTCTTCATGTAGCTGGTGCATTAAGAGAAGCCTGAGGTCTTTCCTTCACACTCCCTCGAGCTTCACAGTTATATATACCTCCCTTAAGGATCTAGCAAGAGCAGGGCAAACGCATGGGTGGTGGGGAAAGGAAAAGCAAAGATTATTCTTCACTCAGCCTTGGGAAAAAATAGGATTTGTATGCGTGAGCTTAAGTTCCTATGCCTTCCATTGTCATTAGCCTGGTAAGATCAAGATGAAGGTGCAAACCAAAGGAACAGGTACAATAAGGCCATTTGATCAACTTCTAGTGTGGAGAGGTAAAAAAAAATGCTTAAGGTAACGTGTGATCCCATCTGTTCATCAGGCAATTGCATTGAGATGATGGGGCTAAGACCCTTCACAATAAAAATTGTTCTTGGCCTCCCTGGTGGCGCAAGGGGTTAAGACGCTACCTATGAAGCTGTCCGCAGCACAAGTTTGATCCCCGGCCAGGGAGCTATCCACATGGTACAGACCTCTCCTGTCTTGCCCACTGCTCCCCTCAGCAGTGTATTTCAGTCAGTTTGCCTGTTCTGTTCCCCACTCTGTCTCTGGTGAATCCTCTCACCCTCCACACCTCTGGCTTGTACCCCGGTTCTTGTATGCATAAATAAATCTTTAAAAAATAAAATAAATAAAAAATATTCTTTTCCCTCACAACTTGAACTTATAGGAGTACTAGGAAACAGATCTCTTTCCTGATAATATTGAGATCTGAGTGACAAATAGGTTAGAAGGAATAATTTTTTAAAAAAGAAACAAACACAGGCAGATAACTGCATGTCATTCAGTTTTGTTGGAGCTGTGGGTGAATGCGGGGAATTCCGCTGGTCAAAAGGGCTTTAATATTAGGTTATTAAGTCTCAAATTCAACTTTAGTCAATGAAGAAAGAGGCGAAATTTCAAAGAAGGCAGAATCATATGTGTATTTCCTTGGCAATATGTACAGTGTTTTAGAATAAGAAGAATTAGGCAGTCAAGATGGTACAGTGTATTGAGCATGCCCCCCCCAAATTCATATACTGAAATCATAGCCCCAAATGGTGATGGAATTGGTAAGTGGAGCCAAGGGATAGTGATTAGATCATGAGGGCAGAACTCTCTTGAAAGGGATTGGTGCTTACTAAAAAAGGCTCCAGAGAGCTCCCTAACCCTTCCAAGGGGTGAAGATAAAGAAGTCTGTGACCCAGATAAGCACTCTCCTTCTACCAGTTGGTACCTAACCTCTGACCTCCAGCCTCCTGAACTGTAAGGAATAAATTTCTTTTGTTTATAAGCTATTATATGTGGTATTTTGTTAAGACAGTCCTAAAGGGCTAAAACAAATGGAATGCTTCTTCCGTCAGAAAGTTTGAAACATGAGGGTGGAACCCAAGAAAACAGGAATTACATTAAAGGGAAAAAAGCTGAATTATTTTGGAGGAGAAATAAATGCACTTTATGATTAATTAGATATTAAAAGATTGTGATTTTTAGTGATTACTTTTTTGAGAGTAACATTTTTCCAAAGATGAATATTAAATTTGGCTGAATTTCCTGTTTAAGGAAAAAGGGGTGTGCCATGCTTACGTAGTTCTTAATTTTTATTTTTTTATATTTCACTTTGTCTAGAATGACCATTTCCATATAGCATCTCATATAAAAGGAAAGAAGAGAGAGGAAGGGGAATAGAAATGAAAAGAAGAAAAATAGAAGCAAAGACAAAAACACAGGAAATCACCATAAGAATTTTTCTCTAGAGGAAAGCTGCCAAATTCTACCCTGTAGGAATTCTGCCATTCTGAAATCAGTTTAGATTTCTATAAATATGGCATAAACAAGCACCAATAATGTTTAGTACATCTCTCCCAGACCAAAATAAAATTTAACCAAAGTGAAAACAATCTCTATTACTTAGCATTTTAATCAGCAATTATTCATACAGCTGTATCCATACACTGACTTGAGTCTTGTTTACCACTTCATGGAATCCTTTCCTAACCATCGCTGTCATTCCATCCAAGGAATTTCTCTAACCATTTGCCTTGCACACTCTAGACTCCTGTAACATGAACTCATTAGTTCTATGAACATGCTGTGCTTTGTTTAAAACACTTCCCTATCTTTCTACAATTAGTCACATTTGAATGATGTTCTTATCCACCCTTTTCTATCATTCCAACTTTTATTTAATTCTCTATTTTATTTAATTATTTATTTAATATTCTAGTTCTAGATATCTCTTCCGTTTCTATTCATTTATTTTAGGATAATTAATGTATCAGTAGAATTTAATCAAAACATTCTTTGGTCAAGCAAAATAAGGGAACTGGAGAACATTTCTGAACAAGTGTATATGTCCACCTCCTTTTTTTAAAAAATGATGCCTTCAATATAAAGCCACTTTGCAACCAGGCATCTGCTAAATGCTTGAAAACATCAGAACAAGTCATTAAGAAGCACCCCACAACTCTTCTCGGACTTAAAATGACAATCAGAATAAAGAAATCATAAAATCTTTGTGCTTCAATCCAACACCAAATGTCTTTTTCAATCCAACACCCTAAGCGTTATCTGAACACTTATAATGGCAGACAACTCACTACCTGCATTAAGTAGTTCAGTTAAAACTTTTAATAAATTTCTTTTGGAGTAACCCAAAAGCTTTCTAAAACAATAAACATTTCAAAAATTTGCTATCTATGATCATGTAACCTGCAAGTAGTCTACCACCCACACCAACCAAACTTTCTTTCAAACTTTACTTCCCACTGTGTCAATGCTTTCTTTTTATTGTTACTGTTATTATTGCTATTGCCATGTGTTTATTTTTTAAACCATTTATGAAGAGATCTATAACTGGCATTCAAAGATATAAACATATTAATGTGTATAATTTAATGATCTGGGAGATAAGCAAATGTCCATGAAACCCTCCACAGCATGTCACAAACATATTTGTAACCTCCAAAATTTTTCTCACTCTTTATTATTATTTATAATAAAAACACAACATAAGATCTACCCCTCAGCAAATTTTTAAGTATATAATACAGATTTGTTACCATAAGTACTATGAAGTACAATAGAGCTCTAGGATTTACTCATCTTGCGTTAGTGAAACTTTGTATTCTTTGATATTATCTCCCTATTACCCCTTTCTCTAGCCCTAGCAATCACCATTCTTCTTCAATGAGTTTGACTACTTCAGATTCCTCATATAAGAGATATTATATAGTATTTGTTCTTCTGTGTCTGGCTTATTTCATTTAGCATAATGTTCTCCGGTTTCAGCCATGTTGTCACAAATGGCAGGATTTCCTTTTTTTAAGGCTAAAAATAGTCCATTGACCCAGCAGTCCCACTTCAGAGTATATGCTCATAGGGAGCTGAAATAAGACTCTCCCATCCTTTATTAAAAAAAAAAAAAAGATTTAATCTCAATGAGATATCTGCACTCCCAAGTTGACCACAATATTACTCACAATAGCCAAGACATAGAAGCAACATAAATAAACGGGTAAAGAGAATGTACATGTACATACAATGGAATACTATTAATGATACAAAAAAGAACAAATTCTAATCTTTGATTTCCAGTGGGAAAGTTAATCCTCACCTATAAATGCTTCTTCTTTTCTATTTACTCAGCTTATAAGATAGGAGATCTCTGGACAGAAAGGTAGAAAATCTATGTCTGAGTACTTGGTTTTGTTTTTTCACTTCCAAAAGGACCTCTTTGCTTTTGTTTCTTCTTGTAAGGCTAGAAAGATCATCTAGAACATTTCCTAAGGTACTCTTCACTTCAGTCTCATACTCTACAATAAGTAAGTATGCCACACTATAATTTAACCACACTTACTGCAAGTTCAGAGTATTACATGGAAAGAAGGAAAAGCAGTGTGCAAGAACATAGAAAAAATATTTTTTACAAATGCTAACAACCAAATGGGTTTAATGAATAAAATGAAGACATTCAAAATACGAAATACAAAACATGACAAGAAAATCCCATGTACAAATGAGGGATATGTCAAGTAGGGAGGGAAAGTTCCAGAAGATGGAGGAAAAACTTTACCTGATGTTTAGTAGCTTCAGTGCATTTAGCAGTACTCCCCTTTTTACATCATAGTCTATTTTCTGATCAGTTCCAAAGCTTGGTGCTCGATTGATCTAAAATGTACAGATAAAATAATGAGAGTAGTTAAATGTCAGAAGGTCAATAAATATTCAGTACACTTTTGGTAATCTGGCACAGAATCCCCAACCAGTGGATATTTACATGGGAGATGGCCCAGATTACCACTGCCATACCTCCACTTCTATCACCCAAAGTCAAGGAACTGAGTGTTAGTGCCACCTCCCCTCCGCTCGCCACTCTGCCTTTGCTCAGAATCTTTAGTGAGCACATTTATTTGCCCTCTTTCTGCTCTCTACAGCTTTATCCCAGGTACTGCAGTTTCTAAGTTTAGGTAAAAGTGAAAGAACAGTAATAATGACAAAAAAAAATACTGTTACCAATCTAGTAATAATTATATGTATGTATTTAGCATATGGAAACCATCAGTGCCTTTTTCTCATTACTTTATATCTTCTGGATTAATTAGCCTATCACGGTCTAAAAAAATAGTTTCTTTCCACCTGGCTCAAACAATAATTCATCAACTTTCATTTCCAAAGGCACTGACTACATTACTTATATTACTCAAAAGACACCACTAAGTGTAGTTGCAGACTAATTTCTATAAAAATCCTTAACTGGATAGGACTCACGGGAATAACATAAGACACTTATGGTTGTTCTATTTTCCAATATCACTTTCCGTATTCCATTAACATTGAAAATAAAAGTTAACTGAATATACCATGAAATTCATTATACAATATGCTACCACTTCAAGAGCTGGAATTTTTGGTTTTGTCCTTGGTTGATGTTATTGTTACGACAATGTAACTGGAATAGCAGCTGTTTAAGAAAATTGTTAATTCAGTAGGTTAGAACACTATTAAACTCAAAATTGCAAGCTTAGCTTCATGTCCACCAATTAAACCTGTACATTATCTCAAAAAATAGGCCTGCTACTAGTCATAAAGTGTACTGTTTTGTGCAAATCTATCACAAGAGACAACTGATAGCATATACTTTACAACTGACAGCTGAAAGAAACCACATCATACTTAAATGATTCAGAAATACAAATCTTACTAGAAACATGGCACAAAATTACTGCAGAAAAAACAGTGAATAGAAGCTAAACAAGCAAAAAGATCACCTATAATCAGTCCCACTTCCTAGTATATTGTTAACAATTTGATAAAGGGTATTTCAGAAATTTCCTATGCATACGTAATCATTTTATATTATGAGTACCTGCTATATGAACCATACTATTTTCTAAACCAAGTTTTTCTCCTAACATTGTATTATGAAAATCTTTCATGCCAACATTTTGATGGATGCAAGAAACCCCTTTTATTGAGAACTACTATACTGTATTTTGTTTGCTGATTTCTGGTTTAAAAGGTGATGGATATATGCCCATCCTTGTGATGTTGTCTTAGGGGAAGGCAATAGCTTGGCAAGTGCAAGAACATTGAATTATTCCAGGTAAATTTGAAAAAGGGAGTTTATTAATCTGCTACTTCAAAGCTCTAAGCATTTCCTCTTATAAGTGCAAAGAAAGGGTAATGCGAAAGTTTGTGGGAAAAAAGTTTCAACCATTCCACACTGATTCAAATATAGCAAAAATTTTTATGATACTATTCATGCTAATTCTGCCACTACATGTAGCAAAATTATAAAATAAACCACTCAAGAACTGATTAGGTGGTTCACTGAAATGTTATCTACCTTTATAGACTTTAAGTATTCCATTCCAAATGTGCAATTTGGAATTCTGCTGGATATACCCCTAATTGAAGAGGGCATGAGATTTTGATGCAACACAATCTCAGACCTGTCTCTCTTTTTATAAGAAATTGGTCTATGAAAGAAATTGGTCTATGAAAAAATTTACCCATACAAGGTAAACTGATACATGAAAAGGTAGAAATATGTTTTTCAATTTAGGTAAAAACTCAGAATTTTTTGTAAGTTTTCTGAAAAATGTTAAAAAATATAAACTAGAAGAACCACAAATGGCTGACAAAAGAAACTCTGAAAATTAGAGTTCTATCCAGCCAAAACTACATACTCTGTAGTGCTGATGACTTCTTTGGTTCTTATCTCTTACCCCAATTCTAAAACAGACAAACCCAGCAGATGCCGGTCTTAAATTTCAGCAACTTGTAAATGCAAGCAAAAATGAGAACTACAAAGCAACTGGAATTAATAGATGCTATTTAGTAACTGTCCAAATCATAGTTTTATTATGAAAGCAAGCACAATCAATTCATGCACATAGCAAAGTATCCTTACTAGATTCTGAGCTCCTAGTCTGTTTCCTCTGCCCAGTACCTTCCCCGCCCCCTAACTGCAATATCTTACCCTCAAACCCCATCCCACCTGTTACAGCTTTACTGTTCCTCTTTCTGCAAGATTTTTTTTTTTAATTCTCAAATACACACATGTACACAGAAAGAGTAATGATTCTGTTGTCTGTGGTAGTTTCCTGGTCCCTAATAATAATTATCATAAGACATTGCAATGGCAGGAAGGGCCAGAGCAGGTTCTCTATGATCTGAGTAGAAGGGGTTAAAGGAGGAGAAAGTCCTGGAGTCCTCGGTGGCTTTTGCAGGCTTTTATTGGGATTTACCAGGTACAGCAGGCAGAGGTGCTGGGGGGCCGGGAGCCTGTCTTCACTCTATCTGGGCTCTCCAGCGTTCTCTGGTGGTCTCTGCTGCTCTCATGGTTCTGCTCTTCTGTTTGTTCTCTGCTTCTGCTGGCGTCTCCGTGACGCTGCCCTTATAAGCCCAGTCTTAGCCCAAGTGAATCCCATCTACATATGCCCACACCCTACTCCAGGTGCCCGCCATCAGGCATGCATTTGGGACTTTACCCTACAGATATATATTGGAATCCCCACTAGACAAGAACAAATATTCAGTCTTATTTTTGTATTTTCATCACCTGGAACAATGACTTGCTGAAATTAATTCAAGGACACTTAAAAGCATTATCAGTTATATCCATGCTCCACCAAATTTCCATGTTTTTCCAAAAATGTTTTCTATGCTTGAAAATTTCTGCAATCTTGCCTGTACAATCATTACTATCAATTAATACAATTCACTCAAAACTATCACATTCTCAGAAGCAATTTCTATCTTATTCCACTTGATGGCGCCAAAATGTTTTTAATAAGTAGATTAGAACCACTAGGTCTCAGCTGGAAGAAACATAAAGAAGCAAAATCTAAGAGATTCTTTTAACCGTTTCAATATAATAAATGTTCATTATCCACGGCTGTTAGTTATTGTGGAGGCTTTTCAATGGTTTTGATGGATATGAAAATGAAAGAATGAATAGGAAATGAAAATATACTAATGCAAACAATAGTTTATTAAGGGCTCTGAATGATATAAAAATGATGAAAAGAATGAAGTATGAAGAAAGGGTATTTTGCACCTTTGAAAAAACACACACAGAACTCAACCATTCAGCCAACTCTGATTTACCAAGCTAGTTTGTCAGAAAAATACTTTACACTAAGATATCTATCTATAAAATCATTATTCCCTGCTATCCTTTCATTTCCACCTCATGCATATGCCTTCACCTCTTCCCCATGCCATCAAGGATAAAAAACAAGTAGTAGGAGCTTGTAAGGGCAGGAATGGGCACAGTGCAGGTTTTCTGATATCCAGCAGACCGGGTAAAGGAGGAGTCAGAGTCCTCAGTGGTTTTTTCCAGGCTTTTTATTGGGATTTACCAGGTACACAGCAGGCAGGGGTGCTGGGGGCCGGGAGGCTGGCAGGCCTCCCAGGCCCCAGCAAGTCCTCACTCTATCTGGGATCTCTGGTGGTCTCTCTGCTTCTCTCTCTTCTGTTCATTCTGCTGTTTCTGGGCTTCTCTTTCGGCTTCTACTGGCGTCCCCGTGACGCCGCCCTTAAAAAAAGCACAGTCTTAGCCCAGGTGAATCCTATCTACATCTGCCCACACCCTACCCCAGGTGCCCGCCATCGGGCATGCATTCAGGACCGCAAGGATCCATCATCTATCCCGATGGCAGGAGGGCAGAAAAGCCTGACATTTTTCCTTACCCTATAGTCCACCCCCTCAGGGTTTTCTGCCATATAATCTACATATATATACAATTTTCTTAGCAAACATAAGCAATGCAGCCACGGCCCACAAAAGCAAATACATCACAAGATAACAAAATACAACAGAACACAAATAAGTCCAGGCAGGGCACCAACCTAGTGCAAAAGACAATTATTGGTACCAGCAGATGAGCCACCAAATCTGCTGCCAAAGGCACTGCTCATACAAGAGAGGGGAATCACTCATGGCATCTACTGTAACACACCAGCTGTCAGGCTTCCTGGCCTTCTCTGGCTGTAGTCTCGGCTACAAGCCACACACAGCATCCACCCCCAGGATGCACTCGCTCTGGGATTGGCGATTCTATTCCGTTGGGGGTAATCACCAACCCTCAGGGTTTCTGTCTGCAGTCACTCCAACATTCAGCCTTCATAGCCATCAATGTGACTCACAGACCCCTGCACTCAGGCCAACCCACTGCACAAGCACATGGGTCGGGGATCCAAACTCTACATTCGGCTTGGGCTCCACCTCAAGCCACGTTCCCCACCGGTCCCCCAAGGACGGGTTCCTCAGCAACTCACCCTCACTCGACAACGAGCAGGGCATCACCCACAGGTGATTTTACGAGACTCACAGGTCTTCAGCATACTCAGGCTGCTTAACAGCCACTCAGGGCTTCCCAAACTTAGCAACTTAGCTTTAGCACCAGCTTTTGCCTTCTCAGTTGGCTTTTCTCCTCTGCCTGGCTGCTGGGCATACACAGGCTGCTTTTGGCCATTAAGGCCCACTGGCCACCCCCAGATTCCCATCTCCTGGGGTTTACAAATGAAACTGTTCCACCCCCAGGGTCCCAAAAACATATGAACCTGCAAGTTCCTCTGCCAACTCCATTAGTCCATCAGGCCTCTCCCTGCATCAGCACTGACAAGCTCCGAATCATGGTCCTCTTTTCGCCGATGATCCTGCTGCCTCAGGAGTCATTGGCTGGTCCTCTCGGGCGTCTCCTCCTCCAGCTGAGGTCTGGTCCCGCAGTTCCCGGACGGTGTCCACCTTCTAAGGCACCATGGTGCCTCCAGCGTCATCACAGTCAAACACAGTCTGTTACTCTTAGTCCCTCCAGGTCTTCGGAGGGCTCCAATACCCGTATGCATGGATCATCCTGCTGACTTATGCCAATTGTACAATTACGCCAACTGTAAGGGCAGGAAGGACCACAGTGCAGGTTTTCTGATCCCATGCAGACCAGGTGAAGGAGTCAGAGTCCTCAGTGGTTTTTTGCAGGCTTTTTATTGGGATTTACCAGGTACACAGCAGGCAGAGGTGCTGGGGGCTGGGAGGCTGGCAGTCCTCCCAGCCCCCAGCAAGTCCTCACTCTGTCTGGGCTCTCTGGTGTTCTCTCTGCTTCTCGGCTTCTCTTTTGGCTTTTACTGGCGTCCCTGTAACGCCGCCCTTAAAAAGCAGTCTCAGCCCAGGTGAATCCTATCTACATCTGCCCACACCCTATTCCAGGTGCCCGCCATCAGGCATGCATTCAGGATCTCAAGGATCCATCATCTATCCTGATGGCGGGAGGGCAGAAAAGCCTGACATTTTTCCTTACCCTACAGAGCTAAAAACAGAAAAGACTGATTGCAGATAAAATAGTAAATCTAAAGAAGAAACTGTCACATGAAAAGGCCTGCACTGGCTTCCTAGACCAAGCTCAATGAGCCTGTGTGGAGGCGTCCCCTTCACCAGCAAGAATTCATAGCAAGGTGTCTGAGAATTAAACTCAGTTCTGACACTATCTATGCAGAAAGAGCATCAGATTCTACATACTAAGGAAGGGCACTGTAGGGTAAGGTAAAAGGTATCAGGCTTTTCTGCCCTCCCGCCATCAGGATAGATGATGGATCCTTGAGGTCCTGAATGCATGCCTGATGGCGGGCACCTGGAGTAGGGTGTGGGCATAGGTAGATGGGATTCACCTGGGCTAAGACTGGGCTTTTTAAGGGTGGCGTCACAGGGATGCCAGTAGAAGCCGAAAGTGAAGCCGAGAAAGAAGCAGCAGAAGCCGAGAGAGAGAAGTAGAGAGAACACCAGAGAGCCCAGACAGAGTGAGGATTTGCTGGGGGCTGGGAGTATTGCCAGCCTCCCAGCCCCCAGCACCCCTGCCTGCCGTATACCTGGTAATTCCCATAAAAACCTGCAAAACCATGTGTGGCGGCAAGCATGGCGAGGATGCCATGAAGAGCTCGGGAACACTGCGAGAGTACAAGGTGGTGGGGCGCTGCCTGCCCACCCCCAAATGCCACACACCACCCCTCTACCGAATGAGGATCTTTGCGCCTAATCACGTTGTCACTAAGTCGTGCTTTTGGTACTTCGTGTCTTAGTTGAAGAAGATGAAGAAGTCTTCAGGAGAAATTGTCTACTGTGGGCAGATGTTCGAGAAATCCCCTCTGCGAGTGAAGAACTTTGGCATCTGGCTTCGCTATGACTCCCGCAGTGGCACCCACAATATGTACCGAGAGTACCTAGACCTGACCACCGCGGGTGCGGTCACCCAGTGCTACCGAGATATGGGTGCCCGACACCGTGCCCGGGCCCACTCCATCCAGATCATGAAGGTGGAGGAGATAGCTGCAAGCAAATGCCGCCGGCCAGCAGTCAAGCAGTTCCACAACTCGAAGATCAAGTTCCCACTGCCCCACCGGGTTCTGCGTGGCCAGCACAAACCACGCTTCACCACCAAGAGGCCCAACACCTTCTTTTAGATGCAAGGCCCTCTCCATCTTGGCTCTGCACAAATAAAGTCCTGGGAAACCCGGGTGCTCACCAAAAAAAAACAAAAAACCCTGCAAAACCACTGAAGACTCCGATTCCTCCTTTACCCGGTCAGTCTGCTGGATCATATAAAACCTGCTCAGTGGTCCTTCCTACCTTAAAGGCTCTTTCCCAAGAATGCCCTCTACTTCATATGCTGACCACAAGCTCAGGTGATCCCCTGGGCTTCTGGCCAACCAGCTACAGACTGAAGATGCTCACTACTTTCTTCTTAGACTTCAGGTGCCACTCCCAAACACATTAAGTGTGCTTCGAGCAGCTGGTTGTAAACCAGAGGACACCATCCTGAGATTCAATTCCTTTTCTAGAGGGGTTCACAGAACCCAGGAAACACATTTATGCACTTGATCATCAATTTAATATAGAGGATATAACTCACCCAGGACAGCCAGGTGGAAGAGATGCAGAGGGAACGCTCTTGGGAAAAGCACACAACTCCCATAACCTCTATGACCTAATCTCTGTGTTCACCAACCTAGAAATTCCCAAAGCCCTCCTTTTGAGATTTTATGGTGTTTTCATTACATAGGCATGACTGATTAACTCAGTGGTCTTTGTTAATTCAACTGCCAGCTCCTCTCCTCTCCCAAAGGGTGGGACTGGAAGTTCCACCCTCTAATCACAAGGTTGGTATCCTTGACAACCAGCCACCACCCTCAGGTGATTTCCTCAAGAAAACCACTCATTAGCCTAACAAAAGTCACCTTTATTACTCTCAACTCCCAATAAGTTCAAAGGCCTTTGGTGAGTTGTGAGTTACAACAGAAACAGGATGGAGAACAAATATATCTGAGAAATACTTATTTTGGTCTTCTGAATGAGTAAAATGTGTTTCCTACAAATTACAGTATTGCAGGCCCATAGGGCAGGATTAAGTGCTTTTATACACAAAGAACTGAGAAAGCAAAAGGACAAGCAAAATTCTTCACAATTATTTTAGTTCTAGGACCAAGCAGGAGCAAAATTTGAACACCTACAAGAATTGTGTTTGGTTAGGAAGATAATATACATTATTTGTCCACAGTAGGTTGAACACACTACTTCAACTCTCAAATTGGAAGTGTTCTTTCTTGAAAAACGTATTTTGAATGTCTTGATCTCACCTATCATGCATTCAATTTACTTATGCAAAAGTTGCTATTACAGACATAACTTTCAATTCTAAATTTTAAAAAAGATAATTTAAAATGAAAGTAGCTGATTCTATCTTCTACAGCAAAATGTTCCTTTTTAAAAGGTAACCAGAAATCACTTACTGTGCTAATTTATCTATTCATTCATTTATTTAAAAAAAAAAAATGCTAAGGACAGCATCTCATGACCATGGGCTATATGACCCCAAATCAGGGAGTTTAGTGAAAATTGCTAGATGGAGAATTGCTGGACCACAAAAGTTCAAAGTTCCTTTATCAATAAACTATAAACATAAATAGAACTAGAAGGAAAGGTTTTAATAAACAGAAATCCTTTTTAGTTTTCCTTTGTATTAGCTCATATTTTTTAAATGTGACCTTTTATCATCAAGGAAAAATAGTAACAACTCTGACCATAAGAGGAACTGACAACAAAACCAAAGGCTTTGTAGGAAGCCTTGTTTTCCTACAGGCTTGGTAAGAAGCCCTGGGGACATGAGGTGGTCCCACCTGAGAATTCATGCCACTGGGTTAGGTATTACTGACTAATAACCCAATTGGAATCTCTTTTTGGACATTTTGGAGGCGAGACACACTGAAGACAGGGAAGCTGTGGTCCTAAAACCCAAGCACAGGAAAGACTATCCAGAATTCTTAAGCTGAGAAAGTAGTGGAGAAAGTAAGTGGCAAATTAGCAAAAGAGATCCACACATACAGTTAAAACTCCTAGCCTAGAAAAACATTCAAGAGTTAATTGGGATAATAATATCAAATGTGTGTTTCTGTTCCAATACCAAACTCTTTTAATTATTATGGCTTTGTAGTATAGCTTGAAGTTTGGAAGTGTGATACCTCTTCTCTCCTTTGTTTTCATCAGTAGGGCTTTGGCTATTCGTGGCTTTTTGTGGTTCCATATGATTTTCATCAGTATTTGTTCTATTTCTTTGAAGAATCACTGAGATTTTTATTGGAATAGCATTGAATCTGTATATTGCTTTTGGTAGGATGGCCATTTTAATTTTTTTGATTCTTTTTTCTTTTTTTTAAAGATTTATTTATTTATGTATACAAGAGCTGGGGTACAGGCTAAAGGTATGGGGGGTGAGAAGATTCACCAGAGACAGAGTGGGGAACAGAACAGGCAGACTGACTGAAACACACTGCTGAAGGGAGCAGCGGGCGAGACAGGAGAGGTCTGCTGCACCATGTGGGTTGCTCCCTGGCTAGCCAGGGATCAAACTCTTGCGGCAGAGGCTGCAGACAGCTTCTTAGGTTGCATTTTAACCCCTTGCGCCACCAGGGAGGCCCCCAGGAGGGTCATTTTAATAATGTTAATTCTTCCAATCCATGAGCAGGGGATCAAGAAGATGTGGTATATATACACAATGGAATATTATTCAGCAATCAAAAAAGATAAACTCATGACATTTGCAGCAATGTGGATGGAACTAGAAGGAATTATGCTCAGTGAAATAAGCCAGAAGGAAAAAGAACAATATTGGATGGTTTCACTTACAGCAGGAATATAGGGGAACCAAATAAGACATCAGTGTAAAAAAATAATAACAGTACAAAACACAACAAAGCAAAATGGACAATTATAAATCAGAGACATACTGCAGGGAAGGAGGTGGGAGAGGGATCAGAGGGAGGGAGGGAGGGGCACGGGATTGAGGTGATGGTGCACGGGTGCATTGGTGAAGGAAACAAACATTGTTTAAAAATGAACAATGATGTAAATTTTTTTAAAAATAATTAAAATAAAGAATATCAAATGCATTGATCCATTCTTAGGACTGATTTGATCGCTGACTATTCTCTTCCTTCCACATGCTCTATCCAAGCCTCTTTCAGCTCAATTAATGAGACAACATGCGAAGCACACATTTAAAAAACATCTGTTTTAATACACAAGCCCAATGATAACTTCTCTTTCTTCCTAAAGAAATATCTTACCTCCAGAAGCCATGGCTTTAGTTTTCTATCCAACAAAATATCAAATCCCAGGACTTCAAAGCACACACTTTCACTTCCTGGAGGCTGACCAGGTCTACACATTCGATACGCGTGCAGGACATGAGGTTCCGCTACAATCAGAGTCTTTACCACCAGTTCCTAGGAGAATTATGAGTTATTTTAAAAAAATGTGAAGATGCATTATCTGTGTGTATCTCATTTACATATTGGAAATAAGGCCTAGACTTACAAACTGGTGTCCTGACCAAGATCATAAAGCTCTAAGGCAGCCAGACCCACGGCTGCTCTAACTTCATTTCATCCAGCACTTCCTCTGCCCAATACACTCTAACCACACTCTCTTTCTCTGGGCCCTGTACTAACTGGCCCTCTCCTGGACACACTTCTCTTAATATTCCCACATCTGGTTACATCCCAGCCTCCATTCTCACTGCATCATGCTCATAGCATAGAGCCAGCCAATCTTTCTTTGGTGGATGCTCCTTGTCTATTTTATATGCAACCCCTCTCCTAATTCCTGTAAACAGCAACTGGCATTTAGTAGCTGCTCAAAAACATTTGTGAACAGATAAGTAAAGTTGAAGTTGATAAACATGGTTTCTAATTGTTCTATAAGGATAGGATCATAGACTCTTCTCAGAAACCATGAAGTGGCTAGTGGAGGCAGGGAGAAAAAAATGCCAAGGAAGGTTAACTATTTCACAAACAACATTCAGAACCTCTACTCAGACCAAGACTGAAAGCGTTAGGAGTCAGGATCTAAGAGTGTTTCCTTGCTCAGTAATGATTTTGTATGTTTGTCTGAGATGAGAGTACTGTCAATTAAAGAACTAGCTAGTAAATATTCGATACATCACATAATACTACTAGGGTAAATTACACATGCTAATTTTTTAAATTGGTTTACCCAAGTTGAGTATAATCTGTAGGCTTTGGAAAAGAAGTCTCACTGGGTTTCACTTAAAATATATTGTCTTTTTAACCCCATCTACAGGTATAGGCAACATAGCAGAAGAGTTAAGAACTTGGCTCTAAAATCACACTTTCTGGATTTACTCCTGCCTTTGCTACTTCAGTGATATGTCAACCTCAGTTGTGCTGGTTACATCTTACATGTCACATTTTCCCCCAAACTTAAGCTGGCAAAAGTAATAATACCTGCTGCAAAAGATTTATTTTTTTTGGCATGCATCTGCTTTTTAATGTTTTCCTACGATATATTAATAAAATAGGCTTTATGTAAAACTCTTAGCACAGTGCCTAGAACACAGTAAATCTTCAATAACTGTTAGCAACTTTATGACTACCATAGTTATAGTTATTCCATCATTTCTCCAAAACTCCATTTCCATGTAATATCAAGCACAAAACATTTTCTACCTGATGGGAACAATATTCATTACATGGGAGAGAGGAAAAAAAAAAAAGACAGAAATGGAGCTGTTACTAGGAATCCAAACCAGATCACAATGGGGATAAATATCATAGATGCTCTGAGGGATTGTTCTCAAGATTATTTTCAAAAAAACAAATTCACAGTGAAAGCACTGAAGAGTAGGAGGAGAAAAGGTAAAATCTTGGCAAATAAATGTGTGCATGAACAAGACATATGGGGGTAAAAGTGATTATTAATAGACCCTGAGTTACAAATTTGAGTTTTTTCTACAGAAAAACAACATATTTTGGAGCATTTAAAGGCAAGATCACAGGTATATGTGAAAATTAGGAGTGATATAAGGAAAGAGAAATCAAATTCCACTAATATATTTGAGAAATTTCAACATATTGATTGGTTTGCAATAGGATTTGAAGATTTTTACCTAAAGTATACAGAAAGCATTTCATAAGTGATTCTTTTTAATCTTCATGCCCAGATTTTCTATTAATTTCCTATTCATTCCTGATAAGCACACATCTTTGCTGCATAGTAAGTAGGTACTGAATGTTAGTTTTCATAATGGACAATAGCAATTTAGAAAATTACCTCCAAAACAGAGGTCACTGAAAAGTAATCTTAAGTCAATTTCATGAAATTTCCAAACTATGAAAATAAGATAAAAACTTACTGCAACATTGCCTACTCCACCTACTTATTCTCTTTTTATAATATCCTTGGGTTTACCTTAAATAGCTACCTTTATAAGTATGCAATTCTTTTTTTTAATATTTATTTATTTATGCATAGATGAACTGGAGTGGAGGCCAAAGGTTCAGGTCATGAGAAGATTCACCAGAGATACAGTGGGGTGCAGAACTGGCAGATTTACTGAAATACACTGCTGAGGGAAGCAGCGGGCAAGACAGGAGAGGTCTGCTGCACCATGTGGGTTAGCTCCCTGGCTGGGATTGAATTCAGGCCATAGAAGTGATAGCGCTGAAACTTAACCTCTAGGTCACCAGGGAGGACCTTCAATATGTTTTTTTAATCCTAAATCCCCATGAGTCTTTCGCAAAAAAAACATATGTGTCAACTTGGACTACTTATTACTATTCTCATGCCACTATGACTTGACATAAGCTTTCGCCTAGAATTACCCCTCTCCACTTCTAAGCAGTTAGAATCCCACTTCAAGCAGAATGAATCCATCACAAGTTCCATGTCCTTCATGAAAACACTACTAACCTACCCAATCTAAAGTAAACTGTTTAAAATATTTGACAACCCTTTGAATTAATCTCCGGAAAGACAATTATAATTGTGGAAAAGTAAAATCTTACTGAAATATCACTCCAAAACTTAGCAACATCATGCTCATTTGCTTGCAGAAATTCTGTAAACCATTTGATGGAACGTTTGCTGCCTTTGTTTTCAGTTTCATCCCTTTCAAAATGCTCGTTGTGCTTGTTCACAGAGTAGTTTGTTAGATGCATGTATAACTGGGTCTGTAACAAGTGAGATCCAAAGTTGTTACCACCTATGACTATTGAACTATGAGGTTTCACAGAAAAGAAAGCACCCAAAGACAAAAGACAATATTCAAGTTTAAAATAACAGACCGGCAATTTCAAAATTATTTAGATTCCAAATAAAATAGAATGTACATTTCCCTTAAAAAGACTGAGAATGCAGTTATCTACAGAATTATTTATTATTCAAAATACACTTACCATAAAAAAGACTAAAATAATGAAAGCAAATAAATGAAAATCTAAAACTACATATTTCTAAATAAAAAAAAATGCTCTAAGTTTATTTTTGTTAGTTTGATTGTTTTTTAGTGTTTCTGATTATCTACATTTTTCATCCCAATTTGTTTTGGCAAAGGAATTTTCTGAGATAGCATTCCATGTCTTTTCATAGAAAAATAAAAAGTGAAAGCTCAAGTAAGAAACATAAATCAAGAGGCAGGACTACCAAACATAACCTTTGCCCTCTCCAACATGGACTGGGAAGCCACACAAACTCCCATACAAGACAGAGAGTGCTTGAGAGTCAGCAGACAGACGCATCATGGCACGCTGTGCAGATGTCCAAATGGCTCACGGGTTCAGTGCTCCACGTTGGGCCTATTAGGTCATAAGTCTCTTTATTTTCTTATGTTTGTTGATACTGCTTCCCCCAAATAAACTTGAAGAAGAATCCGAAATTTAAAACTTCTTATAGTTGTCAATTATGGCTCCATATCAATCTAGCAAAAACAATCATCTGGTCTATAGCCTACTATCAGAATCTTTCTATTAGAAATTACATTGATGCATCACGATGAACATATATTTTATGTGCATGGTTATTATTTTGCTAATAACAAAGTATCTTTACATGCTATTTTACTTTCACTGCAGTTACTTAGGTCTCACAGTACTGAAATCTCTGAAGTAATAGAATTGATCATTTTAGTTACTTGCTTTTTAATAATCCATGAGCCCACCACTAATCAAGAATTCATTTTTTTACTCATTAAATATTTAAGGAGTATCAACTATCAGCAGAATTCTGCGCTGGGAACTGGGGATACAAATACAAACAAGACAGACATACTCCCTACCTTCATAAGACTTAGAAAAAGCTTTAAATGAGGTGATGTTTAAAAGAAAGTGCATGAAATTTATGCTTGTCTAATTTTAACTGCTTGATTTAAAGAAGAAAGAAATTAATCAAAGAATAACATCCCCTAGATTCCCAAATACAAGTCTTTTTAATGTTAAAAAAAAAAACCTAGAAAATAATTATTTGAGGAACTCTCCATCTGGCAAGAATTTCTTAAAATAATAATAGAAATAAAAACACTAGCTATGTTAGTGAAGAAGTAAATAAATGGAACTTTGTCTTTAAAAAAAAAAATTAACTTTGTAAGTAGGATTGGAAATTCCACAGTTTCACATCCACCTTGACAAAAATTCCCTTCTAAACAGATCACTGCCAGTTGGCTGCTTGCCATAAGGAAAAGTGAAGGCAGATATGAAACATAAAGCAACCTGCAAAGGATAAAAAGGATATATACATTCTCCGCCCTATTTTCAGCAAATAGGCTCAATATAAAGTATTTGCAAGACTTTTGAAGAATTGGTCAACCAATACATGTAGCAAAAAAAAAATGTCTATAACATTTTGATATCTAAAATTCTCTTTTGCTCCCCTTAAAGCTCATTATTAATTATTAATTATTACTATATATAATAATAATTATAGATAAAAATTAATTATTATAAGTAAAATTAATTATTAATTATTAATTTAAAATGAGTTAATTGCAAAATACATGTTTGCTATTTTAAAAATGGGAAACAGGAGGAAGGAAAAAAAACACAAGAGTCTGTAATCCAAAACAACCAATTATAGCATTTTGGTTTATTTATTCCAGCCTTGTTTTCTTAAACTTACCTTTTACATAATTGTGGTCTCAGTTTAGATAAAACTTTGTGTTTCACTTTTTTTCATACATTTTTCTAGGAATTTGATCATGAAATTTTAGAGATTTGAGGAACATTGATACTTATACAGGAAAAAAATTTAAGAGATTATGTAATTCAAGAGCAGTTGGCAAAGTGAAACCTAGAGACCACTTTCCAAACTCCCAATCTCTCCTTGTGATTGCCTAAGTGATTGCTTAAATGTACTGAAGCAAATTACATACACATAACTTAAGATACTAGATCAAATTACTTTTTCACCTAAATAAGTTTCTTGCCCACTCCAATTATTTTAATTATAACCTATGAGCTGACAAGTCCCAAATTATGCCTGTAGCTCAGAGCTCTGAATTCAACCTATACTGCATATCCAAATGTCAATGGTATCAGATTCAGAGGCCACACAGACATGTCAAACCAAACACATCAGCTGTCTGAAAAACCTTTAATAGCTCCTGCATTCCCCATCATAGTGAATAACACCCCGTCCATTCAAAGGCCTGTGCCAAAAAATTTGACTTTTATATTTAATCTCTCTCCCTAGCTCTTACTCTACAAATCCAACTTGTTGGTTTGTGATGATATTGTTATCCATGATTATCTTAAGCATATCTTAAATATATCTTCTTACTCTTAGTCCAGCCCTAATGCCATTACATCAGATTAAGTTATCCTTCCTCTCACATGTGCTCAGACTATATAATACAGCCACTGGCCTCCCTTACTCAGTGGTTCCCATCCATAGTCACTCCCATCTCACACTGTCCACACTACAGAAAAGGTGACTTATTTAATACACAGAACTCATTTCTTCTTTCCTTTATTTAAAACTTTTCAATGTTTCCCTCCTTCTTGGGTTAAATTTCAGACTTGATTTATAAAACCCTGAAAGACATGGCTTCTCAAATTCTCCATCCTCACCTCTGAACACCCACCCATTTCTAGTCTGCGCTGAACTTGTCTGCCAGTTCCACACAGAGCTTGCTCCTCATACCTCCAGGCTCTTCTTCTGTCTGAAGCTCCACCCTACCCCAATCCACACCATCCCCAACCTGGCTAACTCCTCATTATTCAGATTTCACCTTACAAACTCCCTCTCTCTAACCTTTATCTCCAAGTGGGATAGATTCCCCTGCTATGCACTGCCATAGCACCCTCAGTTTCCATCACACTTACCATAGAGTATTATAATTGCTTATTTTATTTTCTGCCTCCCCACTAGACTGTTGCTTCTGTCAGGTCAAGTACTGTATCTGTCTTGGGTCACTGTTTTTTCCAAAACCAGCACAATGCCTAGAACGCAGTAGAGTTCAAATATTACTTGGTGATTGAATAGATCCACACCAAATGATTCTTTCTTTTATCTTCCTTTCCTGCAAAAACTTTTCACAGTTCCCTTACTCTTCCTTTGCCAGGTTTAAAATATTTTCAGTTATTGAAGATAGCAAATTTATGATTAGTCATTATTTAATTCTGAAAATATAACTTTTAATGAGGTTAATTATGCACATATAGGTAGGATTTTGACAAAATGGGAAATAATTTTCACTATGATTAATAGATCCCAAAATAGGGTTAAAGGTTAACTAAAATTTCAAGTATGGATGATAAATTAGTTTGTCTTTCGTAAACTATAAATTATACTTTATGACTTTCACAATAGTTTCACTTTCATGAACTAAAAATTACAGTTTTGGTTTTCATAATCACTTGATTATGTGACATAATATGTCACAATTATACAAAGGAAATCTTAATGAAAAAATATCTACAAAAAGCTCCATGTGATAGACTTAAAATATACACTGGAACTGTCAATTATGTATTTATTTCACATCTTTATACTACTACTCCTCTTTTGTTCCAGAAAAAATTAATAACTCTACTTCCTCTAACTGGCTTTTCCTGTTTCATATACTTTCTCCCACATTTTAGATGTTTAAGCTTTACCTGAGAAATACAAATAGCAAGAAGATATTCAAATACTGACTCCTCCACGAGGATCTAAACACAACTATCCCCGCACTCAACTCCACAGCACTTGACCGGTAACTTTTTAGTGGCATGTTATCTGTGACTTATATTTCTATATAGGTCATTTCTATACATAACCACCGCATACAAATATACTCTGACATCCACTTCCATAGAGGGACACTGCATGTACATGTTGTGTGCTCTGAAATCCAGTCTGGTGCTTACAGCACCAGAGGTGATTTCTTGATTACCATTCCCAAAGCAGATACCATTTTTTTCTTTCTAATTTTCACAAAGTTGTCTAGAAGCAATCTTGTTTATACAAGTCTTGTATAAAAACCTGAAAGGAGGGACTGTGATATAATCTTTATATAAATAATGGGTGCTTTAAAAAGTAGGTTTTGAACAAATTAATAAAATCATAGATTCTGTCTGGTGTCACTTACCAAATTGGACTCATTAGGTGGAATATACTTCTCAGTTCCCATTCGCACAAGTCCATCATGGTAGAGAAATATTTTTAGTGGATCACACGATGTTACCAATATATAAATTCGTAAATCAAATTTGTAACCTTCCATTAGGAAAGGCTTTTCAATATATTCTTGAACAATCAAATGATCCTGAGATGGAAGTTTGTCACCATTTCTTATCAAAGAAATCCTAAGTTTAAAGGAAAGAATTAAAGAATAATTTGATATGGAAGCAAGATTTACAGTTACAGATAAAACTCAAGAGGAAAAAAGAAGGAGTAAGGAACTCCAAAAGTGTGTCCCTCCATAAAAGCAATGATTAGCACAATGAAATTGATAGAATCAACTATTTTGGAACTTTGGGAGCCAACCAAAAGCTCGCAACCACCAGTACTTAATCAGAAAATCAAAGCAAACAAATAAAAGTCCTCAGCTGAATCAGTATAAAAGAGCTTTGTGGCATTTTAATATACTCTGGTCCTGTCCCCAAGCCCCCCAGCTCAGCAGTGGTCTGGAACAACAGCAGGTAAACATAGCAGTTCTGGAAAGAGCAGAATGGGCCTTATTCTTGCAGTTGCTTTTTCTGACCTGATTAGTGGCTCCCTGAAAGACCTGAAAGGACATAACTTTTATCTTGCAAAAACAGAAACTATCGCAGTGCTTATATGGCTACTTAGGTGGCAATTTTTTTAAAACATGCAAATGGTTAGTCACTGCTGCCCAGGGCAAAAAAATAACAAGGAAACCAATATAATAACTAAAAGGACTGGAAAGAAAAAGTGAGGAGTGAGACTCTTTGAGGAATAAGAGCTTTGAAGAGCTCTGATATATTTGTGAGCTAAACTTATGCCCAGGGCTAAGCCTATGCTAAGGAAAAATCTGAGAAGGCCCTAAGTTCTTACTGCTGGATAACAATCAGGTTCTGCAAATGCAAGAAATGAAGATTAAGGCAGAACTGTAACCTGCCTGCCTGCCTGCCTGCCTGCCTGCCAAAGCACACACATACACACACACAGATGTTGTGACTGCTAAAGCACACATAAAATCTCCTGTAAGGCACAGGAAATTTTGTTATTGTTCCAAGAGTTTAAGAAAATTTCTGTCCAAGTATCAGCTGACTACTGAGCTAACAGAACAAGAAATGCTGTGGCCACACACAATAAACAATATAGAATTTACAAAATGATTTCAGAAAGGTCAATAAACAAACAATGACAACAAGAAGCAGCAACAAAAACTATAGAAGGGGGAATATCTGGTTTCCAGAGACAAAATATTATAATGTCCAGTTTTTCAACAAAAACTTGTATGTTATGCAAAGAAAAAGTATAACCCATACACAGAAAATTATCAATAGAAACTGTCCCTGAGGAAACCCAGACATTGGGTCTAAGGAACAGATCTTTTAAATCAACTATTTTTAATTTGTTCAAAGAGCTAATGGAAACCATATCTAAATGGAAGATTTAGGAATGTAGAAAAAAAATCAGCAAATAAGAAGATAGATCAAGTGCAATGAACTAATCTGAGAGAAAGAAAGAAAAGTAAACTGAGTTTAAGAGTTCTGTGGGATACCATCAAGAATATCAGTATATACATAATGGGAGTCCCAAAAGGAAAGGAGAGACTAAAAGGAACAGAATAAATATTTCAAGAATCAATGGCTAGAAATTTTCCAGTTTGGTGAAAAACATTAGTCTACATTCCAAGAAAAGTTATGAAAGCTGCGTAGAATAAATTCAAAGTGATCCCCATTGAGACATAGTTGAACTATCAAAAGCAAAACGAAGAGAGAATTCTGAAAGTAACAACACTGAATCTACTAATCAAGCCCAAGGGGTCCTCAATAAGATAAACAGCTGGTTTCTCAACAGAAACAATAGAGGCCAAAAGGTAGTGAAAGGATATATTCAAAAGGCTGACCAAAAAAAAAAAAAAAAAAAAAAGCCATTAACAATGAATTCTATACCTGGCAAAACTATTAAAAATTAAAGAAGAAATTCACAGATATACACAAACTGAGCTTCTTCCTAATATAGCTGGTCTAGAAGAAATACTAAAAATAATTCTTCAAACTGAAATAAGAGGACACTAGGCCTTTTCAAATAACACAAATAAATAACAACTGTAAAGGTGACTTCATAAATATATAATCACTATTAGTGTCATCTAGGTTAGTACTCCTCATTTTTCCTGTATTATTTAAAATACAATTGCATAAAACAAAAATTATAAATCTATGTTGATGATCACAACATGTATATAGATGAAATCTGCAATAATTACAATATACAAGGACAAAGAATTATATAGGAGCAGGCAGTTTTTTTGTTATTAAGTTGATAAATAATGCAAACTAGATTGCTATAAATTGAAATGCTAATTGTATTCCCATGGTAACCATTTAAAAAAATCAAAAATAAACAAAAAAGAAATTAAATACATTAAAAAATTATTCAACACACAAAAGGGCAGAAAATGGAGGAATTGTGGAATTAAAATTACATAAACATTGAAAATGAAAAGCAAAAAGCATTAAGTACAAATGAGTTAAGTCTCTAAGTTAAAGAACAGGATTTGGCAAATGTATTTAAAAAAACATGGTCCAACTATATGAGATTCATTTTATATTCAAAGAATCACATAGACGTAAACAGATGGGTGACATATTCCATGAAAATAGTAATCAAAACAGAATTTGTGCAGCTATGGAATAGCCATACTACCATCTTATTATAAGACAAATATAATTTGTCTTTCACAAATGCAAAGTACCAACTACAAAAAAGAGCAGCATGGAAATAGACTCCATAGATGGGGAGGCAGCCTTTATCTATGTGCTACTGCACTTCATGGGATAAACCTTGGTGGCTCAGTAGCACATTATGCTTTTTCAGCTACTTTTTGTACTACTGTCTATCAGATCTTTATGTTTTGACATTAAATATAAATACATAAATATAAATAACTTTACACTAATTTTCAAAATTAACATTGAAAAAAATTGTATCCAAAAAAACTTTTCTTTTGATAACTAACATCTAATGAATGAACTTGTACATGTAATTACTTGTACATGTAATTTAAATTGCTAAATCACCAATAAAAATGTTTGATTAAAATGTAATTACAAGTTAAATGGAAATCTGAACAATAATTCACCTGGTAGCTACATTTCCAAATATCTTTATCCACACAGTATTTTAAAACAACATGTTAAAATGACTCATATTTTTATTAAAAGCTGCCTCAGCTATATTTTCTTTGAAAAAGTATACTGCAGAAAACTAACATAAGAAAGTAAAAGGAAACAGAATTAATTTGTATAATTATTCTCAGTTAACATGTCTACTTCTCCACAATTTATTCTAAAAAGTGTTCTACTCATTTTCAATCCAATTACCATGGTTACATGAAGAAAAAACACATTTTTAAAGCAAAGGAGTATTTTGCTTTAAGATTTCTAGCCATGAAAAGAGTATTTATTATCTCCCATCCCATTTCTTTCTCCAAGTGAATTTGGGTCTACCAATTAATTGATTTTACTCTCCAAGCACACTCTAAAAGTGTCGAGTTCAAACTTTTTGTTTAAGAAAAAATAAGAAAGCTTATTTCTATTTTGTTGTCTCCTAATAGTCTCACAACATGTTCATTGGATTATTAGTTTAATATTGATGCCTGTGAGAGGCTAGTTTCAAATAATTAGTTCAAGAAAGCAACAGAAACCAATTTTATTAACTTTTATATTAGTATTCAATAATGAGCAAATACTCATTTATTCTTTCCTCATATTAAAAAAAAAGATTTATATACCCTTTTGAAAAATACCTACCCATGACCCATTGCACCATTAGCTGGTTTTACTATAAAAGTTTTCTGCTTTCGTTTTTTCTTCAGTTCTTTCACATAGTTCTGGAATTGTGTGTATTCAGCAGGGAAGATCCATGTTCGGGGAACAAAGGTATAATCCAGAGGCCGGGACTTGATCATTCTATAAAGCATAGATAATATGAAAAGTAATTTCTATTCAAACTTATGTAAATTTTCTCTGTATGTGCTACTGACACTTGCTACAATTATTTCCTCCCATTTTTTTTTCAATTATTGAGTCAGTCAACAAAAGTCTTTTAAGCATCTACTATGTACTAGGCACTATGCTAAATATTGCAGATACATCAGTTTTAAAAAATTGACAATTTCTGACTTTCGTACTACTTCATATATTAGTAAATTAAACATTTATTTGAGTGCGTACTCAAATGTAGTAGGCACTGGGGACATTAAGATAAATTAACATGGTGTCTGAGTTAAGGCATTTACAAATAGGCTAATAATTAAATACAATGTGGTAAGTACAGTAAAGGCTTATGAGGTAACATAACACGTGGAGTCATTAACAGCCTCAATGATGCTGATAGGCAGCAGTAAATGGTTCACAAGCAGATGTCATTTATACTGCTTCTTTAAAGATGATTTTGAGTCATCTGAGTCACCCATAGGGACAAGATTTTGATGACCTTATGAAGCAGGAAGTTGCTCAGCCTGCTGGTTGGAGTCTGCTGCTTGTTGGAGCAGAAAGTTCCTGCAGTGTAGTGCGTGCCCACAGTAGTAGCTATGGCTGCCTCTGACCCTCTTCCCGAACAATAAAGAAATTCTATGATGGATGGGGTAACAAGCTTCCTCATACAAACTGTATAAAATCTTACCATTCCTGCAATTAGGGGCTCAGACTTTTTGGGAGCTACACCACTGAGCCCACTGGTACAACAAATCTCTCTCACCTCTCTGAGCGCCTACCTGATTTCTCTGAGAAACTGCCATTAACACTTCTACTCCAGAGTCTCTTGGAATGTAACCTCTTTTCTGAGAAAATCTTGTGATGCCTCTGGGTCAGTAGAAGTTTTACTTATATGAACTATGTTGCCTATGCATGCAGTTTCATTGTTACAAAGTATGCTCTGGTATTTTCATATTTGCTACAAATCAGAATGTCTATCTGACACATGACTTAGAGATAATACTAAGTAAAGATGTTTACTTTGACTAACTCTAAATGTTGTGTATAACTGATTACCAATAAAAATATAATAGAAAATGTATTTTCAAATGCTACCTATCAAAGAAAATCTGATTGTTTCTCCAAAAGTCTCATAAATACATACAAATCTTTCAAATATGAGCAGATATTGTCCTCAAATGAGATTAGGAAAAACTAAAGCAAATAACGGTATAGTATGTAAAGAGATAGGACCTACATTCCAACACTAAGTTGTGGAGTAAGTAATTTTGTCTCATAACTGAAGTTTCAGTACAGTTATCAAACTTCAAGTCCATTTTCAATAGAACACTGTAAAAAGCTAGTTTCCACAATGAGACGGAAATAACTACCAACTCTGTCAAATTCATGCTAAATAATCAAAACATACTAAATAATCTCAACATAAAATAGACTAACATAGATTGATTTGAAACACATACACACACACACACACACACACACACTTCTAAAGTAGGTGAAACAGCCCTTTTGTTTCCAATACCTCTAACTGTGTATACTTTTAACAATGATATAAAATTAGATCAAAATAGACCTCTAGGGCCTCCCCGGTGGCGCAGCGGTTAAGCACTGGGTTGCAAAGCTGCCCACAGTTTATGCGGCGCCGGTTCGATCCCCGGCTGCTCCCAGGCCACCGGAGGAGGGTCCCGCATGGTGGGCAGACCTCTCCTGCCACCTGCTGCTCCCCTCAGCAGTGTACTTCGGTCCTTCTGCCTGCTCTGCTCCCTGCTCTGGCTCTAGTGAATTCTCTCACCCTCCTGCGCTTCTGACTGTACCCAGTGCTTGTATGTATAAACAAACAAATAAATAAATAAATCTTTAAAAAAAACAGACCTCTAAACAGAACAATATAGCTTAAAACTATTCAAGTATTTATGAATGATAGCACTCCTGAATATGATAGGTATTCAGGGGGAAAAAATCCTAGCACAGATATACTAGAGATATACTTTATAAAGTATATTATGCTTTATACTTTATTTTTATACTTTATTCCATTTACATATTCCATTTGATGTTAAAATATGGGTGTGATGTGGTAACATATACCTGAAGGGAATGATCCTATACCTCTAAATCATACACAGTATTGTAAATGAATGTTGCCTCAATTAAAAAAAATTTTAAAAAATAATAAAATTGAATTAAAAAAATGTATAGCTTCAAAATATACATGTAATTTTACTTAAGAATTTGGTGGGATATTTCCTCTTCCTATCATGGATTTATTGAACGCTATTAAACATGGAATTTACTTAATTATTTTTATATTACTAGATCATAACTTTCATCTAATAGATTATTTTTTTCCTTACGGAAAATTTCAAGGATGTATAGAATGAGAAGTTGTCTATTTGCAATAACCTGCAAATGGTCTACATTAAACCACCTCATATCTCCCAACCATAAAGACTTCTGTTATCAAGCACCACATGATCTTTTGAAAACGCAAAGCTGATCATATTACCAACTTCAACCCCTTCTCTTCTATGGCATTTAGGATAAACATCATACTCAGGAACAACACCCTTCAGTTAATCACTCCCTGATATGCCATCAATCTTTTTAAGCTCCAGTTACAACTGGTCTTATTTTAGTATTTTGACTATTCATTCTTGCTCCTGCCACATGACGTTGGCCCATGCTAGTCTCCCTGTCTACCAACTTCAGAAGAAAATGTCTAACTTATCATTCATATTTTAGCTTTCAGGTTACTTCCTTAGAGAAACTAATACTTCCCTAAGTCAGATGTCCTACTAATATACACATTGGTTCAGAACTATGTACCTCTGCTTCACAGCACTTATCAAAATTGCAAATCAAAGTTTTAGAAGTCATAGATCTGCTTTTGATGACTCAAGTGCCCAGAAACCAGTATAATACCTGAGATATAATAAATATTTAATAAATGTGTGTTATATGAAAATAACTGGCTTAAATGAAACACATGCCTAAAACTTAACAAGATAATTCCCTTTCCTCTGAAGCCCACTGTTCTCCAAGAATCCCTCTGATGACAAATCATGTCACATACACAATATCTTAAGTCATAAATCTAGGAATCATCTTAAAGAATTCTTCTACCCTTTAATTCTCATATCACAACAGTTTCCAATTCTATGTCCTTCATATCATTCAGATTTATGTTCTTTTCCTGGTTCCACTATCTCTTTTTTGCTGTATTAGATGCTTGTTACTCCTTACCTAGATGTTCACAATTATCTCCTCCAGGGTTTTCTCCCTCCAATCTTACTTTTATTGAATCCATTACCTTCAGTGTCACCAAGATTATCTAAAACAGGGCCTCCCCAGTGGCTCAGCGGTTGAGCGCTGGGTTGCGAAGCTGCCCGCAGCCTCTGCAGCGCCGGTTCAATCCCCGGCTGCTCCCTGGCCACCAGAGGAGGGTCCCACGTGGCGTGCAGACCTCTCCTGCCACCCGCTGCTCCCCTCAGCAGTGTACTTCGGTCCTTCTGCCTGCTCTGCACCCCGCTCTGGCTCTGGTGAATTCTTTCACCCTCCCACGCTTCTGACTGTACCCAGTGCATGTATAAACAAAACAAATAAATAAATAAATAAAAATGCCTCTATTTAAAAAAAAAAAAAAGATTATCTAAAACATATATTTCTCTGTTTAAATCCATTAAATAACTCATTTCTTTCAGGATAAACAGAAAGGTTTATTGAGAAAAAAGATTAATAATAATTAAATTATTAAATAAAATATAATAACATGATCTACATGTACTATTCTTCACATTTCTCTCCAGCATCATCTCAGATTGGGTCTCCCAATAGCCTATATAAACTGCTTAAAGTTCCCCAAACATATGTTGGTTAGTCTCCATATACTTCTACCACTGTTGTCTTGCCTACAATACCTAGTCTCCTTCTCAGAATCAACTCCTACAAACTTTGTAATATCCATCTTGTATTTTAACTTCTCCTGAAATGTTTCCTGTACTCCAAAAATTCTTTCCCACTGTATTTGTCACCACAACACACTGCCTTCCATGTGGCACCATCAAATTATATTGTGCCTACCAGTCTTCCTCTCTTAGTAAAATATAAGTTCTAGGCAGGGACTAGGCCTTATTTGTCCTGTTCAAAATTAGCAGTCTCTAGGGCATACAGGAGACTTGAAAAAAATATTTGTTGAATGAATGGCTATCTAATCATAAACTTTCACACGGATGCATACAAGTATTTCTTTAATTACACAGACAAGTTTAATAACCTTCCCCTGTAGATGTTCTCAGAAATCTTTCTCAATTTATCACTCAATTTTCTCAAACTAAAAAAAGCGAATCAACACAAACATAAACTGCATATAATTCGTTCGGCTTAACACCTGAGTTTAGCTGTTAACATTTCTTCCCATAAAAAAAGATTCTACTCTAAATTTTGGTCTCAGACATAAATAAATTGTGCATGTACACCCCTGGATGGGCAGGTATACATCTGTCTGTCTGCACACACATATCTGCTGCAATACCTGGCACAAATAGATACTCAATAACCAGTGAGAACACAAACATACACAGCATATAATGCAAAAATTAGTTTCTTCAAGGTAACCGAAAATAAAAAAACATATATACTGAATGCCATGTACAGATAATCTCTGACATTTAAAAGAAGAAAAAATATGTTGCTAGAGAGATAGCAAGGTACAGTGATCCTAGAATCTAGACTGTCTAGAAGAATCTCCTGAATTTTGGAGGATTATGCTCCAGTCCTGCTATTAACAATTTATTTAACTTTGTTCAAGATAATTCATTTCTCCAACCCTCAGTTATTGTCTCTGCAAAGTGGAAGAACAGAACCAGGGAACATTTAAAACCCATGCAGTTCTAAAATGCTACTTCTTTCATTAAAATAGCATTTTAAATCAATATGTCAATATATCCTTGTGAAAGATAGCACTATAATATTCAAAATATTCAAACAAGCCTTCTATTTTATAAGAAAATGAAGATTACTTGGTCATATTTCTTGCTAAGAAATCCTTCCTACAGATCTCCCCCATTCCTGGAAAATGGTTGATTCTCTGGAAAATAAAAAGGTAAACATGAAAATTTTCATTAATTTAATGAACATATTAATTTATACCACAATAGTTACACTTGTCCTTTGAGTTACATGTTTTAATAAAGTGACAATTATTAATGCAAATATTTCAAATTAAATGACCTACAATGAATTTGTAGAATTAAAAAAATTTATGGTAATCAGAATAGAATTACAAAATTTTAAAGAAATAAGAAAATGATATTACATCAATATTAAAGTCATAATTTTCTATGTTGAATTACTGATAATTCAATGTCCAAATTATTTTGGTATTCTAGGCATACTACATTCGTGCACATAGGCAATGTAGAAATACTGGTGAAAACTGACTTACTTGTTCCATACAGTCAATTTTACATTACTTCTACACTAACAGATGAACTATACAAAATGTCAATTGTCTAAAATCCTTGGTTTTTCAGTTTGTTGTCTATTTTTTAATATCTTTGTAATTCATTCTAAAATAAAAGAATAAAGTCAGATTATACAGAGCTGACAAGGTATTTCTACATCCTGATCTCTCTAAGCTTTCAAATACATATCACATATCTTTTAAGTACAGTGCAAAGTTCTTCCTTAAAGATGTAAAGAGCTTAAAAGTTAATTTTGAAAGGATTTGGGTTTCACACAGAGTCAGAATAAGCAGATAGCAACAAAACATAAACGTTAGAACTGAAATTTAATATGTCAACATATTTAGAATCTTATTAAAGAAAACTAATGCAATATATATAATTTTTCTAATGACCAATAATTGACCATAGTTAATTTCCCACCTGGTAATTTTGCAGCTCTGAGATTTTCTCCTGCTGAACTGCAGAATCACACCATATAAGATTACTTGTTTCATCCTCATCTGGAGCTTTCATAAATCCCATTTCATCTATTACTAAACGAACTGCAAATAAATGATTAAGTTAGACCAAAATTAAATTACTTCTGAAATATATTCATTGTGGAAACATTTTTGATATACGTAAATTTTATCTCACAGCATTTCATTTGCAAAATATCCATCAGTCATAGCATAACCTTATTTTTTGTTACAACAATGATCTATCTAAACACTGTATAATTTTTCACTATCAGAAATAGAGAAAATTATAAGTGCTTCTGGAAAGAAAATGCAGGTGACCCATAAGAAACAAAAATCATATTCCTGTTCACCCTAAGAGAAAAGGTGGATGAGATGTCTGAAGATCTAAGGGTCAGAGTTAAGGTCAAGAATGGGGAGAGCACCTCCAGTGGCACTAACAAAATGAGAAAAGGAGACCCATCAACAGCCCCAGGATCAGATCTGAACTTAGGTATGTCTGGCTCAAAGTCTCTCAGCCACTACCCTCTACTGTCTGTTCTCTCTGTTGCTTTGGCCCCAGACCTGCAATCCAGGACACACTATGAAAGGAAATGGAAACTTTCAAATCAGACTCATAAGAAAAGTGATGCCTGCATAGCTAAAGACCTGAGATCCTCATTCCTGTTTCTTGCACTTAAATGTTTTTGTTATTATTATCAACAACAACAACAACAATTATGTAACATCTCTAGCTCCAATAATGCCTAATACTCCTGGGCTAGTCACTGAGACCTCAGTTTTCCTGTCATAGGGGTTATGATCTTGGAGGGTCCTCCTGGCTCTTTAATTGTGATTGTTTAATAAAAGTAGTAATTTACCTTTGCAAAGCATTTTACAGCTCCCCAAAGCATCATTACATGCACTGTTTAATCTGAACTGTCCACACAACCTATGAGATGGAAATCATGACCCCTAAATTTCAGATGCAGCAACTGTGGTCCTACGAAACCATAAGCAATTACTTAAGTCATACAACCTTTTGCCAGTAGAACCTGGAAGCAAAATTCAGGCTTCCTGACTTCTGAGTGTGAGTGTCTTCCAACTAAAACGGGCTGGAATTTTTTCAAAGAAGGATAATTTGAAAAGTTGGAGTTTAAAATTGAACTCCAAGGGGCCTCCCTGGTGGCGCAAGGGGTTGAGCACCATACTGTGAAGTAATCTGCAGCCTCTGCAGCACCAGACCTCTCCTGGCTCGCCTGCTGCTCCCCTTAGCAGTGTATTTCAGTCAGTTTACCGTTCTGTTCCCCTCTCTGTCTCTGGTGAATCCTCTCACCCCCCCACATCTCTGTCCTGTACCCCAGTTCTTGTATTCATAAATAAATCTTTAAAAAAAATAAGTAGGGCCTCCCAGGAGGCGCAGCAGGTTGAAGGCCACACTGTGAAGCTGTCCGCAGCCTCTGCAGCTCAGATTCGATTACCAGCTGGCCAGGGAGAAACCCATATGGCATGGCAGACCTCTCCTTCCTCACCCATGCTCCCCTCAACAGTGTCTTCAGTCAGTCTGCCTGTTCTGCACCCCGCTCTGTCTCTGGTGAATTCTCACACCCTCCCGTGCCTCTGACTGTACCCCAGTGCTTGTATGAATAAATAAATCTTAAATAAATATAAATTAATTAATTAGTTAATAAAAATAAAATTGAACTCCATGGATCCAAGTCCAAGTTCCCTTTGTTTTATCACATTGGAAATGACCAGTTTATCCCATGGAGTTAGGAAAAAAGGATTAATACTTGGAGTTGCTATCTAGGGCTGCCTGAGCCCCCAACTCTCTCCCCTACCCTACCCTGCTTTAATTTCCAAAATCTCTGTAGCATAAGATATATGGCAATGAATTCCTTGAATTTTATACTTTAGTATGACGCTTCTTGTGAGAACCAGTCCAGCACAGTGGTTAAAGACGCAGGATGCCTGTATTCAAAGCCTAGGTGTGCTACTTAGCCTGAAAAAAGCTACCACACATTTTTTTTTTTTTTTGCCTCTTTCCTCTAAATGGGAGTTATGGTGCTTATAAGATTATAAACAGGGGGCCTCCCAGGTGGCGCAGCGATTGAGCGCTGGGTTGCGAAGCTGCCCACGGCCTCTGCGGCGCCTGTTCCATCCCGGCTGCTCCCCGGCCACCGGAGGAGGGTCCCACATGGCCCGCAGACCTCTCCTGCCGCCCGCTGCTCCCCTCAGCAGTGTACTTCGATCCTTCTGCCTGCTCTGCTCCCCGCTCTGGCTCTGGTGAATTCTCTCACCCTCCCGCGCTTCTGACTGTACCCAGTGCATGTATAAACAAACAAACAAATAAATAAATAAATAAATAAATAAATAAATAAATAAATAAATAAAACATGCCTCTATTAAAAAAAAAAAAAGATTATAAACAGGATTAAATTTCAGTGGCTTAAACGCAAAAAAGGTTTGTGTTTCAGTCATGTAGAACGTGGAAAGGAACTCTCCAGGCCTCTTCATATGGAACTCAGTGATCTAGATTCCCTCCATGTTGTGAAGCATTTTAACATGTGATTGCCAGAGCCTCCTGAATAGCTCATACTGAAGCTGATGCATATTATCTTCCCTCATAGTCTATTGACAAGAATTAGTCCACATGGGGCCAATATAATTACAAAGGGGTCTGGAAACAGTGAACACCACTGTTTATATATATAAACAGTGTAAGTTTTGTTAAATACAAAATAAATGTTCTTTTTAAAGGAACCTCAAAACATCAGATTTCTCATTAACAACACTGGATGCTAGAACAGCACTTTAAAATCTTGAGGTAAATTAATTTTAAAAAGAACTTAAAACCTAGTCATAGCACCAATCAAATATGAATACAAAAGGATATTTCCAGGGCCTCCCTGGTACCGCAAGCAGTTAAGATGCAACCTATGAAACTATGTGCAGCCACTGCAGCATGAGTTTGAGCCCCAAACAGGGAGCTACCCACATGGCACAGTAGACCTCTCCTGCCTCACCTCCTGCTCCCCTCCACAGTGTATTTCAGTAGAACTGCCTGTTCTGTTCCCCACTCTGTCTCTGGTGAATCCTCTCACCCACCCACCCTCACCCCTGGCCTATACCCCAGTTCTTGTATGCATAAATAAATCTTTAAAAATAAATAAATAAATAAATACTCTCTTTCAGTACCTTTAATTAGATTCTGAAGGGCTACTAACATAAATCAGGGAAAATTAGAAAACCCTACCCAAGTACAGAGGACTGAAGGGAAGCTTGTCTTGACTCTGAATAGAGTACAGGGGAGAATCAAGTTGCTGGAAAATTGAACATCGGTTGATCATTTCACAAACTTCAACTTAAATGTATACAAACTGGCATTGAAAAAACTTGATTTAGTTAACATGGTCCCAAGATTACTACAGCCCATAAAGGTCTAGTAGAAACAAACACAGTTTCTCCAGGAATATTCTTTACCTTGGTCTCAAAAAATTCCCATAAATGACTTTCCAAAGAAAATAAGCAGCTTATCCCTCCAAAATTAGTAAAATACAATTGTCTCTCAACAAAAGGTTATTTTTTTTATATTGAAAATATCTACTTTTGACAAGAATGTGAAGCAATCTGAGCTCTGATAATTTCTAATTGCAATGCACACAAGCACATTGGAAAACTATGTGAAATAGTTTTTCTAAACATGCATCAACTCTATGACTCAGCATTTTCAGTCCTAGGTAAACATTCAACAGAAAAGAACGCATGTATCCACCAGTAGCATAGCAGTTTAGTTAATAATAGCCAAACATTCAAAACAAACAAACTGACCACCAATAAAAGAATAATTAAATAAATGGTGGCATATCCATACAAAGGAGTATACTCATTATTAAAAATGAAAAACTACTGATATAGGCAACATATGAGTGAACCTTAAAAGCATTAAGTAAAAGAATTCAGACACACCAGAAAGTACATACTGTTTGAGTCCTTTCATATGATGATAGTCCAGAAAAGGCAAATCTATAATAACAGCAGATGAATGGTTGCCCAGAGCCATTGGAGGGGAGGATCGACTAGGAAGGGCACAAGGGAACTTTCTGGAATGTCAGAAATGTTCTCCTTGATGGTATCATAGGTGGTTACACAGGTGTATTCATTTTTCAGAACTCACTAAACTATAAAATAGGTACATTTTATTAAATGAAAATAACATAAAAGTTGACTGAAAACTATTTTAGTATCTTATAAAATGAAGAATATAATAACTGCAATGAAAACTTAATGAACAGTGTAATTCTTGGAAGGTGGTAGAGATGTTAGTTTTTTTTTTAATTCCTCAAAACCCGGTATAAATACAGAGAAAATAAGATAGTAAAACCAAAAAGCCATGGATAATATCTGCAACAAAACTAAATAAAAAGATATCTCCATGAATCCCAAAATATGAGGCAGGGGGACTGACTAATTGCCAACAGGAAAAAAATATTATCTAGGGATAAATGAGACTCAATAATAGTAACTGAGAACAGCATTCTGGTTGCACCCAAAATCACTAGTTTTAATCCTCTGAGATTTAACAGGTACACAACACTGCTAAAGAGTTTAGTAATTATTCATGGCACACTGAAAAGATTCACATAGCTGAGACAACACCTCTACTCAGAAAAATGTACTTTTATGGCTCTTCATGACCTTGAGCTAAGTACAAAAGAGGAAAGATAAAAATAGTCCTTGATCATCAGACCTATCCTATACTTTCCGTCTGCTTAGTTCAAAATATTTTTAGTAGTTAAAACCAAGTCAGCTATTTTGACTCGGGATATAAAATAATGAAACAAGCAGAGACTGGATACTGGCCTCTCTGTCTGCTCCCAACCTTCTTATCACATTGAAAAAGAATTATGCTCAGAGGAAAGTTTGCTTTTTACAAACTAGCTATATGTTCCTCTCTGATTTGGATATCACAATTAATCAAAGTTGAACAAAGTTGAACAAAGTTGAACTCCAAAGAAAAATGCAATGTTGGGTATTAAACTCTCGTTTTCTTTGCAGCTAAGCTAATCAGTTTTCTGTTTGGGCTGAAATTTTAAAAATCAGTTGGAATATGTTTACCATCTTCCATTACAAAGAAAAGAAATCCCTTTATGATAGCAGTTCCAAATAGAGTGCTGACAGCTAAAGCCAAAGTCTGTGCTTTTAATTGTCAGTCTTTTAGGAGCTCTCTTTATAAAGAAGAGGTGAAATAATTGCCTCCATATTGAATTCCTATCAAATCAAACTTCCCTGTGGTAAAATAGAGATGATCAAACCAACTATAGTTCTCACATTTCCCTTTGCATACTTATGTATCCTTTCTTGTTTCCATTTGATGAAAATTACCAAAAATACAGTCCTCACAAATTAGTCCTACATGTTTAACCTTGACCCATAGAGCTTTCGGGGATATCAGTTTTAAAAATAACAATCTATTAAACAGTTCACTGAATTTCAGATACAGACAATAACTCAATGTTTCTCATTTAAAATTTCAAACTGGGGGCCTCCCTGATGGCTCAAGGGGTTAAGTTTCAGCACTATCAAGCTATCACCAGCCACTGCAACATGAGTTTGACCCCTGGGCCAGGGAGCTAACACACATGGCACAGCAGACCTCTCCTGACTCACCTGCTGCTCCCCTCAGCAGTGTATTTCAGTCAGTCTGCCTGTTCTGCTCCCCACTCTGTCTCGGGTGAATCCTCTAACCCCCCACACCTCTGCGCTACACTGCAGTTCTTGAATGCATAAATAAATAAAAATAAATCTTAAAATAAATAAATAAAAATTCAAACCATATTTTATTTGGACACCATGATACAGTAAAGAACACTGAACTTTGGACCACTGAATGACTCGGATTCAAGTTCCACTTTGGCCATGTGAGACCTTAAGTGAGGTGTTATCTTCACAGAACTTTAGTTTCTTCAACTATTCCATAAGAAACATGAAATAATAATGTGAAATTTCATAATGTACTAAATACAGGAATATTGTGAGGTTATATTTCACTATTCCAGAACATGTCTCCATGAGCAATAAGAAAAATTTCGCTCAAGACTCAGGAATAGAAAAGATTGTATTTCCTTTGACTAACCAGAATGATTTTATCTACCAGGAGTTACGTATTCTACAGTTCATTATATTTCAATATTTGCTTTGAGTCAACTCCATGCCCATCTCTGACTACAGAAGCTATCTCATGAAATGTATTCTATTATCTTACCATAGTCACAAGACCAATGCTGTATCTTACTGTATTTTTCATTATTTCTTTTCATATAGCTATAAGCCAGTCCAAATTCAATGTTAGTGTGAGGAAAGGCAAGGGGAAAGGGAACAAGGGAATAATACAGACTATTTCACAGGGTAATTTGGAAGATTAAATGAGGTAATGTATTTGAAAATATTAGGTCAACGGTTATTAAAGGATTAATATTAAAACTAGTAGCAAAGTATTCTAAGGAGAGAACAGGCAATGCCAGAGCTAAGAGGCAGTTGTCCTTACTCCAACATAATAATCTTTTCATTTTATGACTCAGACTATTAAAGGGGCAGTAACTAAATTGCAAGAGCAAGTTGTTACATTTAACCAGTTAAATAACAGAAAATCACAGTAGCACTTTCTCCTGGCCCTCTCTCTTTCCTTCCCCTATACTTAGCTCTGTATATTCTCCCAACAGTTTTCTTTTTTTTTTTTTTTTTTATTTTTTTTAAATCTTTTTATTTTTTTTTTTATAGAGGCATGTTTTATTTATTTGTTTGTTTGTTTGTTTTGTTTATACATGCACTGGGTACAGTCAGAAGCGCGGGAGGGTGAGAGAATTCACCAGAGCCAGAGCGGGGAGCAGAGCAGGCAGAAGGACCGAAGTACACTGCTGAGGGGAGCAGCGGGCGGCAGGAGAGGTCTGCGCGCCATGTGGGACCCTCTTTTGGTGGCCGGGGAGCAGCCGGGGAACGAACCGGCACTGCAGAGGCCGCGGGCAGCTTCGCAACCCAGCGCTCAACCGCTGCGCCACCGGGGAGGCCAACAGTTTTCAGTACATGCACCAAGCCTGCTGTAGCCATGAATTTTGCTAAACTCAGAAAATAAGTATGCTATCAGTATGAACACCGCTAATGCAACTTCAGCCCTCAGAAAATGTCCTGAGAACGTGAGAGGGAATTGCACTTAAACATTTTCCTTCAGGTTAAGGTTATCGATGAATCCCTCTAGAACCTTAAAAGTACAGGGGTAAATTAATAGCACTCATAATTCACCTTTTTTTTTTTTTGCTCTAGAAAATATGCTGCTAATAAACCCTGAATCAATCCTATTTTCTCGCCTTCCATACTAACGAGTTTAAGTCACTTACCCTGAGGAACACTAGCTAGCATAGAGTATTAGGGGGCCTCAGTTCTCATGAAATATTCCAGTGATTGCTGAGGGAATTAGGTGAATACTGTACATAGAAATGAGATACCCAATGATTAATAAGGATACGAATAACTAACAACGTTGAGGTTGACAAGATTTTCTTCAACTTTTTAATAAGACTATTGAAAATGGAGGAAATATATTTGAATACTTGTGGTATTTGTGATAAGTTTTGCAATGCTGGACAAAGATGCTTAATTTAAAGCAATTAATTTTTCTTAGCTAGCCTCTATACTAAAGATATTGCTTACACATATAAAAAAGAGTTCCATTTGAAAAAAAAAAAGCAACAGCTAGTTATTGAAGAATTTTTAAAGCATAAAAAAGAAATATTTTTACTCTATTCCAAAGTGTTTTTACTCTATTCCGAAATGTTTTTACTCATTGTTTAATAAAAATCTCAAATATTGCAATTTTCATTTTACCTTTAACATGTGATTCTGTTTTAAAAATTACATCCAAGATAATGAATATTATAGATGAAGCATAACTTTAGCCTCCAGTGAGAAATACACTGGTAAATTTTCCTAAGTACAATTATATTTAAACATTAGAGTTACAACCATTGGTGTTTAATATTATTATTTTATACTCAATTTTAAAATCAAGTGTTAATCAAAATTATATATAATTAATTCTATCTCATTAATAACTAAAGTCTTTAATTTACACTGATGTACTATTTGATTATGAACATGTTAAATGCCTCCTAAAAAAGAAAATTCTATAGAAGGCATTCAAAAATCCATTACATAAAAGGGAATTAGCTCTCTGCCTCTCTGTTTTCAACATCAAATTAATTTTCCTAACAATTATGAAAATGTCACGATTCTAAGGAGACCTACCAATTTCAAACTTTGTGCCGGCAACATTTGCTGTAATGGTACCTTTCTTTTTCTTCTTTCTTACTTTCCCTTTCATAGTGCTTTGGTAAGACAATTCTGAATCCAGATCCAGAGAAGAGGGTCCCTGAATAACTTTAAAAGAAATGCAAACCAATGAAACATCATTGAAACAAGAATTCCATAGCAGAGGATACAAAAGCCCCCTAACCCACCCACACCCAACAAGGAAAATTTTAAGTTCTGGTTCTTTAAGAAACCCCAGTTATTGTTTAATTCTTAAAAAATAAAAAACTAGCAATGATAATTTATAACACAACCATATTTTGTAACATGAAAGTCAATCTGCTTACCTCTCTCTTGTGGCAGAGATGGCATTATTGCCTGTGCAGGTTAACAAGCAGTGTGTGTTACTGTACCAAGCTCTCAGCTAATCTGGAAGGCCAGCATTAGTCTAAGGAGGATATTGTCACAAATCACTGAGTGTTCCTATCACATTATCTTGGTGGAATCATCAGATTTCAAGACACCGGAGTTATGGGATGAAAAGTTACCTGGAGGGATTTTAAAATAAAGGCATTTAGAAAACAAATTCCCTGAAATGTTTTTGCTATAAACCACTGATATTTTTAAAAGTCAAATAAAAGGGAAAGCTACCATATATTCAATCAACAAATAGTTGGTACTTTATTAAACTTAATGCAACCACTAAGTGATAGTTCTCTGTCTTAAAATGTGCAGAGTCTAAAGGAAGAGGTCTCATTTAAGCACCATACCTATTTACATACAATCAATAATTTCCACACACAAATAATAACAATAACAATATTCACTAGCATTTAGTGAACACTATCGTAGGCCTCTTATACCACTTAATCTTTCAACAAAACTATGAGGTAAAAGCTTTTATTCCCATGTTACATATAAGCAAATGAAGCTCAAAGGGACAAAAAATTTTATCTATCTTTACAAAGTGTTTACTATAACTAACCTACGGAAACAACATAAGTACCCCAGAACAGATATGTGGGTCAGGAAGAAGTGGTGTACATACATACACACACACACACACACACACACACACACTGGAATACTACTCAGGGATCAAAAAGATTAACCTGGGCCTCCCTGGTGGCAGAAGGGGTTAAGATGCAACCTATGAAGCTCTCTGCAGCCACTGCAGCACAAGTTCAATCCCCCAGCAGGCCACGGAGCAACCCACATGGCGCAGCAGACCTCTCCTGACTCGCCCACTGTTCCCCTCAGCAGTGTATTTCAGCAGATCTACCTGTTCTGTTCACCACTCTTAAGTATCATTTTTACTGGGATAATTTTCTAAAATAATTCAGTATCAAAACTAGGGAACTATTTTTTATTACAGACTAACTCTGGATATTCACTATATTCAGAATTTTAAAATCTTTCACATCTCATTTACAAATCTGGAACTTTGACATACCTCCCCAATTTTCCAGATGCGGAAACAAAGGTTAAAAAAGTGAAATAAATCAAAGGTAACACAGCTTATAAATAGAAAGCTTTAGCTTTGAACCCAATTCTATGTGGATTATAGTTTATCCACTATTTTCAATCATCAATCTAATATGCTACATAGATATAAAATAAATTTTGCAACTCTGCTGTACTATAACACATGGGTGTAGTCTGAGAATTCACAATACTTCAAACTAAACAGTGAATAAACAGTAAACATCCATAAACTGATCTCAGCCCCTTATTCTAGGCTAGAAACAGACTAGATCATTTCTCAGAATAAAAGAAAAGGAATAGTCTGAAGCTTGATATGATTTCTTTCTGGAAACTCTCTGATACCCCAGGAAGGCAACAATTTGTGTTTACAGGTCTTTGTCCAACAGTTGATTACTGGAGTAAACAAAAAGACTTTCTCATTGTACCAGAGTACTTATTACATTAAAAGTAGGTGACAAAGTCAACAAAAGTTTAAGAACAGTGTTCTCAATGTATGCTAACAATAAGTCAGTCATTGTTACAGGCTGTGAAAACAGACTTGTTAATTCTGACTTAAATAATGAGTCAAATGACTTTGATTAGTATACAGTTCAAAACAACGACTTCCTTTTATCTCTTCCCCAATTCACACAGGAATTAAAAGGCCTCAGACTTATTTCTCTCTTCTCTCAATGTGTGTGTGTGTGTGTTTTACCTAATTCCATTTATGCTTTGGTGAATAACAATAAAAGTGCTTTAACAAACTTGAGGACTTGATCCTACCATCCCAATTCTAATTATTTCACTTTATTCTAAACAAGAGATATGAGAAGAGAGAAGGACCATATCCACTCAGGGGAGCATGGTCACCTACTTTCCCAAAGCAGAAGGGATGTTTCAGTTTCATTCAAAATACTTAAAGCCAGGGCCTCCCTGATGATGCAAGCGGTTAAGTGTGAGCACGATGAAGCAATCTGCAGCTACTGCAGCACGAGTTCAATCCCAAGACCAGGAGATGACCCACATGTATGCATAAATAAATAAATCCTTTAAAAAAGAAAGAAAGTGGGCCTCCCCGGTGGCGCAGCGGTTGAGCGCTGGGTTGCAAAGCTGCCCGCAGCCTCTGCAGTGCTGGTTCAATCCCCGGCTGCTCCTCGGCGACCGGAGGAGGGTCCCACATGGCGCGCACTCAGCAGTGTACACTGCTCCCCTCAGCAGTGTACTTCAGTCTGCCTGCTCTGCTCCCCGCTCTGGCTCTGGTGAATTCTCTCACCCTCCCGCGCTTCTGACTGTACCCAGTGCTTGTATAAATGAATAAAAATAAATCTTTAAAAAAAAAGAAAGAAAGAAAGAAAGTTTAATTCTGTTTGATTAGAGCTACTTTTAAAGCTAGGGAATAGTTTAAAAGGTGGTGAAATCTGGGCCTCCCTGGTGGCGCAAGGGGTTAAGCACAGCACTGTAAAGCAATCGCAGCCTCTGTAGCATGAGTTCAATCCCCAACAGGCCAGGGAGCAACCCACATAGCAAAGCAGACCTCTCCTGTCTGGCCCACTGCTCCCCTCAGCAGTGTATTTCAGTCAGTTGCCTGTTCTGTTCCCCACTCAGTCTCTGGTGAATCCTCTCACTGCCCCCCCAACACCTCTGGCCTGTAGCCCAGCTCTTGTATACATAAATAAATAAATCTTTAAATAAATAAATAAATAAATAAGGTGGTGAAATCACCAAATTGCATCAGATTTCATTTCTATTCTTGGAACACCTAGGTAGCTAGCTGTATCTAGGTATCTCCCCATATCCACTTTACAAATGTACTGTAAGTCAACAGCATGTTTTCAGTGAACAAACTAGATCAAAATCATCTTTGTGGAGCCTGCATTCTAGTGAAGGAATAACAAACAATAATAGTGAACATTAAATGTTTAGAAAATGCTAAGGCCTATGGGGGAGGGGTGTGTGAAACAGAACTGGTTAGATCAGAGTGGGAGGGAAAAAGGAAGGAAAGGGAATACAATTTTTAAATACTGTATCCAGGTCATCCCCATTGGAAATGTGACATTCATAAAATTATTGTGCATTATGCTTACATGTGTGGATGTAAACTTATGGAATGGTGAAACAATACTTTCTGTGGTACCAAACAATCTTTAGCTTGTCAACATAGTTCTTTTTCCTAAATCCTGGTTTTCTTATGTATTTATTTGTATGTATTCTAAATAGATTTTGAGATTACTATTTTCACATTGATAAGCAGAACAAACATGTTTCACAATGTCTGTTAACCAGTTTCATAAACTTAGTTTTATTACTTCCCTGACAACTTTTCTTTGGAAGGTGAAGGGACAGAAAGATACCAACCTCTCCTTCCACCCTGCATCCTCAGGATTGCTGTTAGACTTTCACACATTCTTGATCACCCCTTTTTGGCTCTTGGCTCACAGCATCCTAATTTTGAACAACTTGCATACCCCATCCCACATCTATACTTGCTATCATATTGTATGACTTCTCAGGTTTAAAATCCCCCAAAAAGAATCCTTATTAGTTAGGGCAGGCTATATATTGTTGCAATAACAAACAAACTCCAAACTTAGGGATTAATGCAAATATATCACTTAGGAAATACTATTGGGAAATAAAAGTGTAAAGAACTACCCAGGAAAGATAAATTCCAAGATTGTTACCTGCTGAGCAAAAGGGGGAAGATGCAATATCAAGCTCTGTTCGAAAGCATGTGTGTACCTGTAATCTTACACACACCAGAGATATAATCCTTAATATAAAGACTGATATATATTTATCATTCCTTAGCCATCCGAAATAATATGTAGAAATGATATAACCACAAAACCTTTGTTTGAACCATTATATATCTTCTGGGAACTATTGAGTTCTAAGTCACAGTGTTGGAAATTTATGTCTAACTCTGACTCATAAGTAATGCTAAGTCACTGAAGGACTTGAAAAAGAATATAATCCAAATCTTTTTTTTTTTGAGGTAACATTGATTTACAACACTATATATGATTCAGTGATACAGGTTCACACCTCTTCAGACATGTGTTACCATACCACACCCACCGTCAGAGTGCCCATAATCTCCCACCATACTCCACAGGGCCCCCTCCTCGTTTTTGCTCCCAAATCCATTTCCCCCCTTGGTAGCTTCAATTTTATAGTTAGATTTCTAGGGTTTGTTTGGTTTAGTTTTATTTGGTTTATTTATTGGCTTGTTTTATTTCCTTATATCTCACATATAAATGAAATTACCTGGTATCTGTCCTTCTCCTTCTGACTTATTTCACTGAGCATAATGTAAAATCTCTTTTTGATAGATTACATTGCTGGTTATTTTGTGGACTGGAAGGGAGAGGCACAGGTAAGGAGGCAGAGAGTCTTAAGAGGAAATTCCAAAGGTCCAGGAGAAGATGGTACAATCTTCATAACAGAAGCCAGAGAGATGGAGAAAGAATATTGCTATTACGGGAGCAAACAGAACTTGGTGGTCAAGAAGGGAAAAGTAATCTCAATTACTTGTAGATTTCTGGCCTAGGAGAACTGGGAAGAAGATGGCACCATTTACCCAAAGAAGCTCTACAAAAAGAAGAGCCGCTTTGAGGGGAAAGATGATTTCAGTTTCTTATTTGTAGAAAAGGATACATGTGGAAAAAAACTGAAATAAGACAATGGAATTAGTGATTGGCGATAAGGAAAAACCTCAATTTTATAAATAAAAATCTTTTATCTAAACATAGATAGGTCCCTCTAAAACATAACTGCTCCTGTTTCTATGTTCTCTGCCAAGAAAGGACAATAGATTTTCAAAGTGCCCAGCTGCTTGATGGATAAACAAATGACATCACACAAACAACCATCAGAACAAGGATACATTGGCACCACTCATTGTGTGTACAAGTTAAAAGGGTTTTTAGAGAAATGTCTCCCTAAACATAGGAGCATTTGTTTGCCTTTCTGCAAATGAGTATATTCCCCAAAGCTAGATTTGTGGTGTGTTCTAGACCTGAAAATACCGTGTGATCAACCACTTCTAAAAACTTGATTGAAAGCCAAGTATCTTACGTGAGGT